TATAATACCTAGTAATCCAGAACGAAAGATGTAAAAAATATATATATACTACAAAATTATTTGAAAAACCTTTGGTAAACATCTTTATATACAAAATTAATTAAAAATAAAAAATAAATCAAATTAACTCAATCTAACATAATCTTTTCCCAGTAACTGAGTCAAATAACATGTTACATATAATTTTCTAATAAGAAAAGTTTCAAACTGATTGTTCAACTACCCAATTCAAATTTCTTTTACTCTTTTTCTTTTTTTCCTTCAAAATCTTTAGGGTTCTTAGTTTTCTTCGTCTGTGATTGGAGGCTCCAAGATCGGGTCCTTTTGCTGTTCTTCCACTGATCGACGCAACCATGGCTATTTGTATGAATTACCAAAAAAAAAAAAAAAAATGGCAATTATATATGTACCCTTATATTGGAGAAAGACTATATTATTCCATATATATATATATTATTTGGTGTACTCAGGTTTCATTCACCAATTTTTTTTTTTTCTTTTTGTTTTTGTTTTAGATCTATTGCCATTGAAAAATTTAATCTAGTTTAAGGGTTTTTTAGTTCCAAATTGACAAATGAATCTGAATTTGATTTCAAAATATAGACAAAAACAAGAAATTAATTCGCGGACAAAAAATCTTATATATTGATGAAACAAATAAAGATTCATGATAAATAGACTCCAATCGATGAACTAAAACTCTAAAATCCAAACAATAATCAATTGACACAGTTAATTAAGAAATTGGTATGAAAGAAACATTACGTTTGAGAGGATGGGTTGGTTGTCTTTGAGAGGCTCAAAAGAAAATCAATCTCCCAAGAAACTTAACCACACAATTACCTTCGAACTCCAAGATTTGATTTTTCTTTGCACAATTGTTGACGTACATGATAACACGAACATAGCAATTTATATCAACAATCATTTTATATCAATCATATGATAAATTGCTATGTTCGTGTAATCATGATTGTCAACAAATGGTTGACTGTGAATACGCCTTCTTTTGGTTCCGCACAGGAAAGCAAATCATAATTCACTCAATTTCCTCTCTATTTATATACCTCATAACTTGATGAACAAGTAATGTATGACACCCGATAAATATTGTGCAATTGCATAATTTTTGGGAATTTTGGTATATTTGTTCTGATAAGATAATGATCTAATGACTTATCTTAACAAATTAGATATGAATTCGGATGTGAATTATAAGTAATTCCATTTCATAATTATCGAATCCCATTAAATTATATATGTTCACATATATTTTTATTATTACATTATAATACACATATGTTATATAAATTAGTTATCTACTATTAAATTTATAGATATTAATTGCTTACTATTATATTCGGTTACATATATATTATGTACCATCATATATATATTAACTATTTTTAATCCTATCTAACCTTATAGCTATACATCAAGGGTCTTGTGGCCATGATATCTCATTTATCTTTTAAAGTGGATAGTGATGGTAGATAATGAGGGTTCGAGTCCTTATAAGTATACATATAAGTGAATATGATTTTATTCCGAATTCGAATCCGAACTAAATAGGAGATGAAATGGAACATTTAATCCGATAATTCGTTACGATTCGAATCGAATAATCCGTTAACTTAACAAATCATATATGAATTTGATCGATATGTTGACAATTGAAACTCAAATACAATTACTTAAAGATCAACAAGTCTAAAAAAAACATTCATTGCGGTTCAAAATCAATCTAACAAAAATTTGAGACATAATTAACATGGTATGGGATGACTGATATAAGGTTGGTGGATAGGTGTTGCCTCTGTTCTTCATGCCTCCTCTGCTCTCTAGAGCTCCGCTCACCGTTCTATATTCTCTGTTCTCTCGTGGAGTTGAAATCATAACAATATATACACACACAAACACAAACGTATTTGTAATTTTGTATATCTATATGTGACATCATTAATTATATATATATATATGGAGGCTGCTTTCTTCCCGAACAATGTAACTTTTTTATTTAGTTAATTATTTCTTGTTCCATCAACGATTTTAATTAGGACAATAATAATTAGTTTTATACTATTTTGTCATTTATTCTAATGATATTTCAATATTAAATTAAATCAAATTAAAAGATTAACAAATTTAAAAATTATACAGAGTAATAGAAGATTTATAAAGTTGCATTATTTGCATATTATTTTACCAGTCCTATATCTCAAAATAATTTATACCATTTGGAGATATCTTCACAATTTTTTTTTCTTAGTCAGTAGAAACACACACACGTCTAGATGGTCTTGGTTTAGGCTTGAACCCCTAACTTTTCTTTTAAAAGTAAGAGTCTGATAGCACCAGGTGATAAAAAATAATTAAAAAATTCTAATCAATAATTTGTCATTTAAAATGAGCATCATTGCTCCCTAACTAATTTTAGGTTTTGAGGCACAAGATGATATCAAAAGCCCTTGCAACCAAAAAAAGAAATTTATTGATGATCACGGAAAGTCAAAAGGATAATTTTATACAATTTGCCCTAAATTGAGAGTTTATGATGGCAATAGCGCATTCACAATGTAGAATATATGTGTATATTTACAATAGTGTTCAACAGTCCTAAACAGGGAACACTATATTAACGTATTGATTTATGCATATATAAATACACACACACACAATTATAAACGTGTAAGGTATTTTTCTTATTTTCATACATTTTTTTAAAATATAAAAATACAAAATCCTTTATATGGTTATGTATTTACATTATATAGTTATAATTTGTAATACAGATGTTTTATAAAATAAACTCTTTAACAATGTGATAAACTATTTTTATTAATGGATTTACATTAGAGAGTGATGGATTTGTCCTTCACCGCTTACACGAAGGTTAGAGAGCCTACACGAATATTAGACTCTAGAGACTCAGAGATCCAAGTAAGGTGTGCACCATAACATAAGGTATATTTTTTAAATAAAATTTTGGTTGCAACAGATATGAAATCAAGTTACTATTGGTGGGATAAAATTGGCAGTGGTTTGGACACCTACTTTTGGTGCGATAACTGGCTCCAGGTGGTCCATTTTGCTCAAGATTCCATATCAATTTACTCACATATGCTGGAATCAACATGGACATCAGAGTTCTTTCATTTTGCGCTCGACATGGTCCTTTCCCAACCAAATCCTAGCTGCATTCCCTGAATTGGCCCTTCTACCACCTCCACTTCATTCTAGAAATGATAAACTGGTATGGACAGCTACTCCAAATGAAAAGCACACAACATTCCATGTTTCAGAGCATTCTCTTCAAGTGATTTGGCACAATTTGGTATGGCATTCTCCCACCATTCCTAGGATGAAGTTCAATCTATGGTTTGCTGTCCAATGCAGACTCCCTACACTATATTGCAAATCAATGGCTCACCATCAAAATATATGCCCACTTTGCCACATTTTCATTGGATCACACAACTATTTGTTCTTCAACTCCTGCTTCATCTCACCAATTTGCAGATTTATCAAAGGAAAATGCAATTTCAATACCTCATTAACAGATTGGGTAGATCTAATTTAGTGGGTAAGCATTCACTGGCAGAGAAGCACTGCCACTAACCTGGTTCGGAAGTTATGTCTCTCTTCAATGGTTTACCACACTTGGGAAGAACGGAATGAAAGGATCTTCAGAGGCAATAAATCCTCTCAAAGAGCAGTTTTGGCCAAGATCAACTACTCCATCACTTCAATTCTGAAATTGGGATTCCTCCATAAACTTTTACATTTATGACAGTGGCTTAAGTTTCCCAAAAAAAAAAAAAACGGAGTTAAATAATGCTATTTTTTAAGAGGACAATCACATCTTCAGGTGTATTTATCTTTTTCTTTCATATATTCTCATTTTATGATTAATTTATAATCAATAAATATTATGAATGTATTTATAATGTATTGTTTTTCTTTTTTTTAAAATGAATTATTACTTTATGATTAGGAATGTCAACAAGATGATTTTGAGTGAGCGTACTCTAATCCTCCCCACCCCCGCAATCGTTTCGAAACTCCCACCCTGTCCTCATCCAAAACTACCTAAACGGGGGGCCTTTCCACCTCATCCACGCTCTCGTTTAACTTTTTCACCCCTCGGGCACATGTCCCACCTCGCTAGTTCCACGATTTCTCCTCATTTTTTTTTCCTCAATTACAATTATATAACTATTAAAAAAATTCATAAAAAAATGGACAATCAATAATTTAACATAAAATTCAAGGGTAAGGACATTCTTAGTTCGTAAGGCTATGTCGCTCTCTAGAACGGCTGAGAAAGTAAGTGAATCTGACCTAGGATTTCTAAAACTAATTATATATATTAATAAAATAAAAATAATTTAATAATTTATCTACGTAAACAGACAGGTTAACCTCTCCTGCCCCTGTCTCTGTTTCGAAGCCGTGTGAATTTTTATTAATAAAAATTATCCTTATCCAAATAAGTTAAACAATCTCCAAAATCACTATAAACAAGCCCGCGGACAAATTACCATCCCTTAATTATTTTAGTGGTTGTTAAGTGCATAACATGTGTCACTATGCTAGCATATATAAAACATGGGTAGTTGATTTGCCTTTGTCTTTATTTTTCATAAAACCACTCAACTTGCCGATTTTAATTTTCTTTCTTTTTCTCTCATGTTCATAATAGAATGTGTTTATAAAACTATATTTGAAGGATTTTACTTTAAAATTATTAAAAATCTAACTTGAATTTTTAGAACATGGCATTTCTTAGATATTTTAATGTTCTAATAAATAACCAACGAACTTCAAATGTTGAGTCTGGTTTCAATATAGAAATAATAGTGTTATAAAAATGAAATTTTCACATAAAAATAAATTCTGGCCATATTTAGAAAAAACAACATGGTTATAAATTTATCAAAAAAATAAAAAATCAAATTATAAGAGAAAAAGCATGTTTTTTTCTCATATTTTTGGACCCGAAAAACACGCTCGATCCGACATTTTCAATTGATGATCTAAAAACACAGTAAACAGCTCTCAGCCGAGCAACCAATTCCACTTTCTGAGTCACACTACTTGCTTTACACTCCCTCTCTCTCTCTCTCTCTCTCTCTCTCTCTCTCTCAGCTCACACAGATTCTCTGCAACTATTCGTCAGATCTCTCTTATGCTTTCTCTCACTAACCACCTCAACTTCACTCCACTAACCAAATCAATCGCAGCTCTTCCATCATCTCTCTCTCTCTCTCTCTCTACATATTTTCTCTCTCTCTCTCTCTCTCTCTCTCTCCATATATATCTTTCTTGTTCAGAATGCCTAACAGGGATGGAGACTCAAACTCCAACTCCAATTCGAATCCATACCCTAACCCTAGCAAACCAGAAAGACCGCCTCTTCTCAAGAAATTCAAAACGATCCCCGACGACACTCAATTTCCGGGCCCACTCTTCCCCGCCGTCCGTCGTATCTCCACTTCTCCTCCGTCGTCTCACCGGTCGTCCGATTCCGAGGGATCCATCGCCGCTGATCCGCTGGCCAATAACGGCGTCGGATTCTCCGATCGCGACTGGTTGTTCCCGTCGTTTCTCGGCCCTCACGCGGCCAGGAAGAGAGTCAGTGTCAAGGCATCAAAGTCGCTGAAGCACGAATCGTCGCCTCATCCTGCGGCTCGCAGCAATTCGATGCCAGCGAATTTGGACGGTTGGAGCGATGGAAAGGTGGGTACGGCTCGCCGGATTGGTGCCTCTGCAGCTTTGCCAGTGGTGCATTCGAAGCCGAAGCTAAAGGCGGAGAACGAACTGAAGTCAGTACCGGTTAAAGCTTTTGCCTCTTCCTCGTCGTCGACATCACTGAGCTCAGCTAATTTGTCTGGTGCTCGGACAGTTTCCAGATATAGAAATTATTGGATCTTTTATTTGGTGAGTTATTGTTATGCTTCATTTGGTCTCTGTTTGGTTGCCAAGAAACTGGAAAAAAAAAAAAAAAAAAAAGGAACGTTATCGGAAAATGAAAGACCATATGATTTCTCTTGTTATGGATTTGAAGAGAACAGAAAAAGTAACATTTTTGGTTGAGTATTTCACTTATTGTTAAAATTTTAATGTTCAACAAGGCTTAAGGCTTTCAATTAACTGAAAATAAACTCTTTTTAAACCAAGTTTTCGGAAAGCTGTGAACGACTTTTTCTCAATGCTCTGATATTTCTCGGGAAATGAACTAAGCAAGCTGTTTGTTTTCTTGGTAACCAGCAAACTATGATTTTAAATTATGATTTTGTGGCAACTTGTTACTGATGATTTTGTGGCATATCTTTCTATTGCAGCTCAAGTTTACTTGTATAGTATCGGTATGTTATGTAATTTGTTTGCTAACTAAAGTCGCACAACTTCAGGTATGTTTGTTATACCCTTTTAACGAAATCTGATTTTGAATATACTCTATTTGGTGGCCAAAAACGTCCATCAAAGCAATTGTTAAAATATCCAATCGTAAAGTGTAAAAAGTTATCAAGTATTGAATCTTAGATTTTTGGTTAACTGTAGCTCAGAAAATAGTATAAAATCTATTGTTATCTGATCTATTTCACTCGAATAACTCAGCTTTGGCAAAACCACAGTAACAAATTATATTATTTAATTTTAGATTGTAAAGTCAATATGGAAACTTTTTAACATAACCAGAGCTAATTTGGTTGCAGGAAGAGAATATTAGCCTTCGCCGACACTGTAGCTGTAAAAATGTTGTTCATAGTGACAGCATTGAAGTTTTGAAGTCTAAAAAAGAGAGTTCATTTTCCTATTTTGGTAACTCTGACAATAGGGCAATTGCTCTCTACGCTGTTCTATTTACTCTCATTACACCATTTGTGCTGTACAAATATCTTGACCATCTTCCCCGAATAAAGAATCTCACAAAGAGGACAAACAATAAGAAAGAGGAGGTTTCATTGAAGAAGAGAATTGCCTATATGGTGGATGTGTGTTTCTCTGTTTATCCTTATGCGAAGCTGCTTGCCCTCCTCCTTGCAACTGTATTTCTTATAGGGTTTGGTGGCTTAGCATTATATGCTGTCAGTGAGGGTAGTTTTTCTGAAGCCCTTTGGCTTGCTTGGACTTTTGTGGCAGACTCAGGAAATCATGCTGATAGGGTTGGTGCTGGTCCAAGGATTGTTTCGGTCTCTATAAGTTCAGGAGGCATGCTGATTTTTGCTATGATGCTGGGGCTTGTTTCAGATGCTATTTCAGAGAAAGTGGATTCATTGCGGAAAGGAAAGAGTGAAGTCATCGAAAGTAACCACATTCTTATTCTTGGATGGAGTGATAAATTGGTAATTTTCTCAAGTGTCTTTAAACTTTAGCGTTTCACATTTTTTTGAAATTTGAGAATTTGAGAATCTTGCTTTACTTTTTGGGTATCACTCAGCAGATATACAGTGTTGGAGGTATGAATAAATATTGTCTTTGTTTAGGATATTATTAAGATTTGTCTAGGATTGATGATTGAACTTTTGGGATGTATCTAAGATATTTAATCTTGTTAGTTATGTGAATAATGCTAATTTGAAGACTTTGTCTGTTACAAATTAAAATGGAATTGTATAACAGGCAATACAACTTGTACTAGAGGAATAAGGAAAAGAAAAGCAGAACTAGGTTACTAAAACTATTTGTCATTAGGAGACGAATTAAAAAGATTTGGAGGAAGAAGCGGATAGTGCAAATATTGATGTCAATTGTTGGAAAGGAAGAAGGTTCCCTTCTTGTGACAATAAGCTGTTGATTGGATTTTCTTTGAGTCTTTTAGATGAGTAAAAAGTAAGAATGAATAAACAAGGGAAGAGGTAGTGCATTCTTTGATTTACTTCTTTTAATATATTAACAGAAATGCTCCTTAAGTTGTGTCGTTCCATGTAATAACCAGGTTATGGACTTGGGTTTTAACTGTGTTAACCTAGCATGATTACTAAAAATATTATAACAGGTTAAGTGGGTTAAGCCTTTTATCTCAACCACAACCTGTTCAAGCCACTTAACCTATATCATTATTTTTCCATCTCGCATCATGGTGAATCAAGACCAACAGGTTGTCTGAAATTGGCTATTTCAACTCAATCTCAGCCAATATTTAAAATCATAGTTTATGCGTGCCCTTGTACAGTTGTATGTGCATAGATAATCCCCTCTTACATGCACTTGTTTCAAGATCCACGTAGTTTGTGCTGCTTATCATTGTTTGAAGCAGCTGATCAAAGTGTCAGAAATTCCAATTCATTAAGACTAGAGGATTAAGAACTAATGTTTCATCACAGGGTTCACTATTAAAGCAGCTAGCAATAGCAAATAAGAGCCTTGGTGGTGGCGTTGTTGTTGTGCTTGCAGAAAGAGACAAAGAGGAAATGGAGATGGATATAGCAAAGCTAGAATTTGACTTCATGGGGACATCTGTTATTTGTAGAAGCGGCAGTCCTCTAATACTTGCTGACTTAAAGAAGGTAAAGTTCCAATTTTATTTTATTTTATTTATTTATTTTTTGTTTTTGTGGAGCTTATTGCACATATTCTTTGAGGTTGTAAACAGTGGGTGTCTAGATGTACTTCACTAAAAAAAAAATGCAGTGTTGTTTCACTCTGTTTCCTTCATTTCTTTTTTTGTTTTTTTATAGCCCTGCATAATTGTCTTTTGGATTGGTTATTGTTCTTGCATGCCCAGGTTTCAGTTTCAAAAGCACGCGCAATCATAGTTCTAGCATCTGATGAAAATGCGGATCAGGTTCTTCTTACTTCACAATTTCCTAACTTTCTTATTAATGACCATGCCATCTTTTTAATGTTTTAGTTTCTTGCGTTTTTTATTTCTTGATAGAGTGATGCTCGTGCATTGAGGGTTGTGCTTAGCCTCGCAGGAGTAAAAGAGGGGTTGAAGGGGCATGTTGTTGTAGAGATGAGTGATCTTGACAATGAGCCCTTAGTGAAGCTTGTTGGGGGAGAACTCGTTGAAACAGTTGTTGCACATGACGTGATTGGACGGTTGATGATACAATGCGCTCTCCAACCTGGTCTTGCACAGGTATGATAAATGCACTTCGTTTATGGTTTTTAATAGATGCGTACTTACAATATCTTGAGATAATGGGGGCTAGTATTTTTGTGTACCCCCCTTCCCCAGCCTGTGTAAGTGTGGGTGCCTCTTTGATCGTTATGAATGTCATCGTTGTACCAATCTACTGTTTTCCTTGGTGTGATTGAACTCGTTGGATGATCTCTATTTATTGGAAGTATAAGAATTTATACTAAGGGCATTGTATTTGATAGATGAGGTTCTCATCCATGCAAGAAACAACTGTACTTATAAAGCTTACCATTCAGTACTTTGTGGTGGAGGGTGTTTTGGCTTCTGACAGGCTTTCTATGGGTATCATATCTATTATAAAATAAAAAATAAAAAATAACCTCCTGTTGCACAAATCAATGGCTTTTATTGTGGATTTCATTTGTCATTGGCTGCTTTTCTTTGGCTGCATTTTGTATTAAATGAACATCTTCTTTTTGTCTTCTCATTGTGATTGCTAACAATGTTGCACTGTTCTGGCATTATTTGCGGTGGCACTAACACTTGGTGAGCAACAACAATGTGGTGCTAATATTGTTTTCTGGTAAACTAATGGTTGTAACAGTAGACAATATAATTTGCTGGGGCTTTTGAACACAACACTGAAATTAAAATTTCTATTATGTTAGTTAATAATTTCATGTGCAGGACCATCGTCTGGATTGTTGAAATATATGACTGCCAATTTTACAAGTTTATCATAGATTAATGGGACAACAAATCTTTTGTACTGGTCTGAAATCCTCAGTATCTTGCATTACTGATTTAGGTGATTAAATCCAATTTTTCTTATGGTTGCATTGAAATTGGTGGGGTTGGAGTGCATCAATTACTATATAACAGTGAAGCCGTTCAATTCCTTTTGACGACCAAACACAGCTCTAGCCTATATATGATTTGTCAATGTAAAGTCTGGATAGTTGTTTTGGTTGCATTTCTATTACCAAACTGCAAAACCACAGATCACTAAAATTGCTTCATTTTTGTGCTTGAAGCTATAGAGACATTGTAATGTGGTGAGATGTCTCCCAGATGCCACCTTGTAGAACTGTGAATGGTTTATTCAGTAGGAGCTAAAATGCTTATTGTACTTCAGTTCAAATTTTTCGGTATACAATTTTGAACCTGTGCTCCTAAAAAAAATGACTTGTGACATAACTTCAATACTTAAACCCCCCTTCCCTCCGCCACATTGCTTTGTTTGTTTATCTGGCTAGATTTTCTGTTAACTTTTGTTGGTTGCTAATATTTGGTTTTGATTGTGTTGGTACTGGTTGTTGTTGGGTAATATATTGGTTCTGGTGATTTTTTGTTTCCATTGGCAGATATGGGAAGATATTTTGGGGTTTGAGAATGCAGAGTTTTATATTAAAAGGTGGCCCCAACTGGATGGAATGCGTTTCGAAGATGTACTTATTTCATTTCCTGATGCAGTTCCTTGTGGAATAAAGGTTGCTGCGGATGGTGGGAAAATAATCATAAATCCAGATGACAATTATGTTCTAAAAGAAGGCGATGAAGTTCTTGTTATAGCCGAGGATGATGACACCTATGCTCCGGGTCCCCTACCAGAGGTCATCTTTTCCCCTCTTACTCCATGTAGCAGCAGAATTTGTTCATATAGGATTCTCTGATTGAAAACCTTGCAGCTGCAGCATACACCAACAAAAAAGTTGTTGACATGATATGCTTTTGCTGATAAATTTGGCATATTCAGTTAACATTCAGAAACTATTCTCCAACATTTATACAAAAAATTCCGAGTCAACACATTTGGTTGTTGCAGATCACGTTCTTTTGCTTTTGTTGATGTATTTGCTGCATGTGGTGTAAGGAATTTTTGCATTTGAAAGTGGGATATATTTTAGTTTCTATCAAATAAAAACTTTTTACATGGTAGTAGGTGCAGTTATGGCTTTCAATTTCGAAATAGACACTCCTCTTCCTTAGAGTGAATAGAGATATCAACTTCTCCATGTATTGTCATTTCGATGCACTTGAATCTTGTGTTTGAGCTGTATTTCCCTTATCTCATTAATGTTGTCTGTTCTGAAGGTGCGTAGGGATTTTTTTCCTAAGATAATGGATCCTCCAAAGTATCCAGAGAAGATACTATTCTGTGGATGGCGTCGTGACATTGATGATATGATTCTGGTAATTTGTTCATACATATCTGTCTTCAATCTGCCTTGAAACTCTTCACCCCTATCTTTCTCTGCTCTTTAAAAGTAATAAAGACACAAAACAAAAAAGGGCAAAACAAAAATAAGTAAATGAAAGCAGAAAAGTGATAAAAGTGAGACGGTTGTTTTGATATGTAGAAGTTAACAGATTTACACATCAAGCAGTGGAAGTATAAACCCTAGTTTTTTTTAGAAGTAATTGTATGCTGTGTATGGAAGTGCAGATTGTTCAAGCACCGTGTATATCAACAACTGAAATTGGTTGTTCATAAATTCAAATACTAGAGTTTCCATCAATGCTATAAGACTAAGGACCCATATTCCCAAATAAGTTATTTAACTAGTCACTGTCTCTAGAAGACCTCTTGAAGTTTTAAAACAATCTACAGTTTCTCTTTTTATCAGCTGTCATCACATATTGCAAGGTTTCTTCTTTAATTTGAATGAAGCCTTTGAATGCTAGACCCTGAACCTCCTTACTTGTAGAAGGATACATTTGCATCATCTGAAAATGCATTAACTAAAAGTCCCAAATGGTGGTAACCGGATAGTAAATGGAAAATGACGAGCAATTGGCGCACATAATGGGCTTGCTTTGCATATACCACATACTTAACAATAATAAACATAAATATGTAACCCTAATTTACACTAATCAAATTTATCTTTTCCCTTTCTTCAAAAGTAGGTTTAAGTCATATGTGGTTCAAGCTCTCGGGTCGGTCTTTTGATCTTCATCAACATTCCCCGGCTCAGAACTCTCCTCCAGAGAGTTAGAGCAAAATTGTCTATACCAAAGAACACATCCAATAATGAATTTAGAATTGCAAGACTCAATAAGGTGCAACATGATCAAGTGTTTTCTCTTCAACCATATTTTTCCGTTTAAACTGATCTCCAAAGTAGGAAATTTTTGTAGTTGAAACATAAATCAATCTCATTTTATTCCTAACAACAAACTCCATAGAATGAACATATATAGCTAGAGACAATTCTGTAGGAAAGGATAATTCTATCATGCTATCTTTAGCCTCTTCCAACATCTAAAGAGGAACAATACCCTTTGAAGTTTTCTCATTTGAATTTAACCAATTTAGTTGTACTTATCAAAAAAAAAAAAAAAGTTTTCTCATTTGAAATTCAAGCGTTGGAAGTAAGGTTGAAGTAAAGCACACAGTTCTTAAGTACTCACTCCCCTAGTCTTCAAATTTCCACATTGTCTTCACGGACTCCAAGTAAAAAGGGTATTGAATAGGTCATCATCATCTCCATAGACGAAAAGATTCTCTCCATATGATAGTCCCTTATTTCTTTTTTATAAAAGGTGGAACATCTTAAGAATCAACTTGTCATATTTGAAATTTAGAATTACCAACCATGACTTGACCCAGGGACGGACCCAGAAAATAAGGTGGGGAGGGGGGGCATTAATGAATTTTTTTAGTAATTTCAGGGGGGCCAATAGTAATATTTTAGGGGTATATAGTTGAAAAAGAGCAAATTACTAAGGTATATTAGTATAAAAAAAAAAAATCAGGGGGGGAAATTGCACCCCCTCATGCCAATGTAGGTCCGTCCCTGACTTGACCATTGCAAAGGTATTAAGAAATTTGACCCTCTTTGGAAGATAATATTTGACCATTGCAAAGGTATAAGGAAGATAATATTTGAACGAACCACATATGACTTTCAGCCGAGGAGAATTGAAGGAGACCAAAACACGACCAGAAACCTTGGACTGCATATGACTGCCACTTACTATTGAGAAGGTGAAAAGATAAATAGAATTAGGAATTTTTGTAATCAGGGTTATTTTTATTTTTGGTAATGTTTCGTTTTAGGTTTATTTTCCTTTTTTAGGGTTTCTTCGAGTTTGTTTATGAGTTTGCTTATATAAAGGCTCGCTCGTATGCAATCAAAATATTTAGTTTTGAATAATTTTGGTGATTTTTGGACTTCTCTGCTATTCTCCCCTGTTATTCTTGCTCTTCTCATTCCCTTCATTTTTCTTGATTTGACAAGTATTGGCGTCAGATTGTTTTGGATGTACTTTAAGTGATATCAGGACACTTTTTATTTATTTATTTTATATATATATATATCAGGACACTTTTTGTTCATCATCAGTTGGTATTAGAGCATATTGGTCCTAAATCATTGGATTATTAACACGATAGTAGAAGATTAGCTTAGCCTTCAACTTGAATTATCGAAAATCTCGCCAACTCGTAACACCCCAAAAAAACTCAAAACCACCGAATTCAAATTTTAAAGCAACATGTTACTTAATGTAGGATGGAGTCTCTTTCCTAAAGCAAAAAGGGAAATGAATAGGTCTGGACTGCAGAAACTGACTCTTTAAAGAGTCTTTGTGCCATTTTTGACCAAGGGTACCTTTGATTTCCTGTTAATGTATGTTGATGAAGAAAGACAACATTATGTGGAAGAAACAGAACTCTCTTGAAATTCTTTTTTCAATGTTCCTATTCGTTCTTCACAAATTTAAGGAGTCCATCAAAAAACATTCTTTATCTGGCATCATTGAGAACTCTTTTCTTTAATTTTTTTCTTTTTCTATTTGAACTTTCTTTTCATTTGATGTATTCATCTCAAAGAAAGTTGTTTTGCCCTATCCCAGCTGTCATGTTGACTAATCCTCCAGGAACCGCCTGGGCTACAAAATGATGATTTCGTTATTAATGCAATTAAATTGTCTGAATGTTTTTAATTTTCCAAAAAAAAATTAGAATTTCTTTTAACTTGCAGTTATTTATACCATTAATCTTTATTTTCCTATTTACATATTAAACTTGTCTTTTGGGTCCCTAGCTCTCTATCCTCTCTAATATTGTGCATCATGAGCAATTAATTCTTCATCATTAAATGTAGTGTTTATTCTTATCACTAAAACTTGATCTGTTGTTTTCATTTTCCATTCGTTAGGTACTTGGGGCATTCGTGGCTCCAGGCTCAGAATTGAGGATGTTTAATGATCTGGAAAAAGAAGAGAAAAGAAGTTGATTGATGGTGGACTTGATGTTTCTAGATTAGAAAACATTAAACTTGTTCATCATGAAGGAAACACTGTAATTAGACAACATTTAGAGGAGTTCAAGGGGGAAAAGATGATTCTAACTTACAGAATCAAAAGTCTCTAAAAGAAGAGACTAATGTCGTCTAACAACAGTGTTTCCTTCACGATGAACAAGTTTAATGTTTTCTAATCTAGAAACATCAAGTCCTCCATCAATCAACTTCTTTTTTCTTTCTTTTTCCAGAACATCATTAAACATCCACAATTTTGAGCCTGGAGCCAAGAATGCCTCTAGTACCTGACGATGTAAAATGCAAACAACAGATCAAGAATAAACACTACGTTTAATGATGAAGAATTGCTCATGTTTCACAATATTAGAGTGGATAGAGATCTGGGGGCCACAAAAGCTTAATATGTAAATAGGAAAATAAAGATTAATGGTATAAATAATTGCAAGTTAAAAGAACTTAAAAAAAAATGGCAAATTAAAAAGATTCAGATAATTTAATTGCATCAATAATGAAATTATCATTTTTTACAACACTGTAGCCCAGGCGGTTTCTGGACTCGTCAACATGACAGCTGGGCTAGGGCAAAACAACTTTCTTTGAGATAAATACATCAAATGAAAAGAAAGTTAAAATAGAAAAAGGAAAAAATTAAAGAAAGTTCTCAATACCGGATAAAAAGCGTTTTTTGATGGACTCCTTAATTTTGTGAAGAACAATAGGAACATTGAAAAAAGAATTTTTAAGAGAGTTCTGTTTTTTCCACATAATGTTGTCTTTCTTCATCAACGTACATGAACAGGTGATCAAATGCACCCTTGGTCAAAGGATTGAGTGCTTAGTTACTTCTAGATTGAATATCTTACTCTTCCATTAAAAAAGGGGCACAAACTCTCTTTAAAGAACCGGTGCATTCCAAATCTATTCATTTCCCTTTTTGCTTCAGGAAAGAGACTCTATCCTACATTAAGTAACATACTGCTTTAATATTCGGATTTGGTGGTTTGAGTTTTTTGGGGTGTTACAAGTTGGTGAGATTTTCTATAATTCAAGTTGAAGTCTAAGCTAATCTTCTACTATCGTGTTGATAATCTAATGATGTAGGACCAAAATGATCTAATACCAACCGATGTCGAACAAAAAGTGTCCTGATATATATATATATATAAAGCATCCTGATATCACTTGAAGTAAAACCAAAACAATCTGACGCCAATACTCGTAAAATGAAGGGGATGCGAACGCGGACGATGAGATAAGGCTAGAAGAAAAGGATGGGGAAGGCAAAGAAGAGAGTGAGAAACATTGCAATATTGTGAAACATGAGCAATTCTTCATCACTAAATGTAGTGTTTATTCTTAATCAATTAAACTTGATCTGTTGTTTGCATTTTCCATTCATCAGGTACTAGAGGCATTCTTGGCTCCAGACTCAGAATTGTGGATGTTTAATGATGTTCTGGAAAAAGAAAGAGAAAAGAAGTTGATTGATGGTGGACTTGATGTTTCTAGATTAGAAAACATAAAACTTGTTCATCGTGAAGGAAACACTGTCATCAGACGACATTTAGAAGCTCTTCCTTTGGAGACTTTTGATTCTGTAAGTTAGATCATCTTTCCCCCCTTGAACTCAACTCTCTCTCTCTCTCTCTCTCTCAGCGTGCAAGGACCGAGTGTGTCAACAATATGCAAATTATAGATTTTAACTAATTAGGTTATGGTTTACTTGATAAATTCCACTTACCGAGATTGAACTGAAACAGGCATTTGTACCTATTGTCTATACCTTTTCAAGACTCTTGTTTCAGTCGCAACAATCTTGAAAAGATCCAAAGGGAGTCCTTTTGGTTAGGTCAGAAGAAGGGTCTACGGAAATATGATAACTGGGAGTCGATGTTCTGACTTATAAAAAAACTAGAACATGGATTGGGCAATCTAGTTGTGAGGAAGAAATCCTTTTAGGGAGATGGTTGTGGAGGTTTCTTATTAATCAGAACTCCTTTTGCCATTTGACAAGTAAAGCAAGTACGGTCTGCAAGACAATGCTGAGTTTCTTACTTAGCCCATAGGGAAATTTACTTCTATTCATTGAACGTTATTTCTTGAGGGTAGCCAGATTTCTCTCACTAGAGATTCATATTCAATTATGGATCTAAGATTTTTCCTTTTGGGCGAATATGTTTTTAAGGGGCTTTTCTACTTTTCTTTGAAACTGTTGTCTTCATTCAATACCCTTGTTCTATTGCTCTATAGCATAGAATTTTTCCATGCTAGACATTTCTTTGGTGCTACAGATGGAATGTTGCTCCTTAGTTGTTGAGACCATTTTGGGGGTTTTATTAAAGGGGGATCTTTGTAGATATGTGCCATTTCAGCTATATTGGCTTGTCGGAAAGAAAGAAAGGCTATACAATTTACAAAGAAAGTTTCCCTTTTAAAGTAATTTTGGATAGAATTCACTTCTTTACCTCCCTTTGGTTTTAGCCTTGATTGAATTTAAATGTGTTGTTTTGGTGTTGATTTTCAATAATTTGCATTGTGATAACTGCCCACATTGTGAAGGATAAATCTGTCTTCCTTGGGTGGAAGCCATTGTTGAAGGTAGAATGAAACTCACTTTGATGGCTGATTTCTTGGTACACCTGAGCAATTGGGAATTGAGGGTTATTTTAAGAGACAGTGCCGTAACTATTGTTTCTTCCTTTTCCTATCAAACAGGAGCAAGTTTTACAATGAAGACTGAAATTTGTGCTCTTTTGGTTATTATTAGAAAAGCTTCAACCTTGGATCTCTTCCAATAGTTAACTGAGGGGATTTGAAGGTGGTGGTTAGCTATATTAGATTTGTCAGCAAGGTCCTTGGTGCTATAGTCATCTCATGAAAGAGATCTTGGATTTTATTCTATGAGGCTTAGATTGTTTGAATTCTCAATCTACTAACATCTGTGCAGATGAGTTGGGCAAGCTTTAATGATTGTTCCTATGACTGCTCATTTTTACCCTCTCGAGACTTGTGAGGTTTTTTTGTGGTGGTGGCTTTTCCTGATTTGGCCAGAGTGGAGTTCCTTGTTTCTGTGGTGTTGGGATGTTGCCTGTTTTTTTGTACCTTAATGAGTAAGGGAGTTTCTTACCAAAAACCAGGCCTTCAAATAAGCTAATCAATATAACCTGAGAAGGTTTCAACTTGAACTAACTTACAATTGTATGATGAAACTATAGTTGGTTAATTTATTTAGCTTCCTGCTTACAGACGGTGCAGTTGATAGGACAACCACTTCTTACCACTTGTTTCATCTGCATTTAGAATTCCTTTCCGTGTCTTCCTCTAATGAGAGAAGCATCCTAAAATAAAGCGATAGACCACAAAACCTTGCTATAAGAAGCCGTCCTGGTCCTTCATTCTGGTAATTTTTAGTAAAAGGCTTCCCAAAATGTTTGGCACCACTAAAATTACATTCACGTCCTGCAACGCGTTGAGTGGCGCAATAGTTGTTTCTAATGGTGCACTTTGCTATTATTTTTTCCCTAATTAATACACTTCGTTATTTAAATGTACAGGAACTTCTGCAACTTTATTTTTTAGACAATTTATTTATTACATCTTTTTACTAACTCTAAGGAGACAGATATTAATTCTTGCAGATGAATCCGTGGAAGATTCCATTGTGCATTCTGATTCACGGTCTCTTGCTACTCTTCTCCTTATCCGTGATATTCAGGTACTGCTGCTTGTAGCTCAGGCATATAATATTAGTAATCTAGAAGTGCTGGAATTTTTTAAAACTTTTATCTTCTGTTTTTTTTTTTTTTCCTAGTTGGGACTCACACACACTGCCTCCACTGAGGTTCGAACCCCTGACCTCTCTTTGAGAAGTAGGAGCCTTGTACCGCTAGGCCACAGGCCTGTTGGTACTTTTATCTTCTTTTAATCTAAGCTCTATTTTTTCCCGGGGGAGATGGGAGAGGTGGTGCGAGTTGAATGCACACTGCTCATTGTTGTTCTCTATATTACGAATATAGAGAATATTTGTTAAAGGTTAATGATATTAGTTATGTTACTTTAAAACATAGATCGCAGTTAAATTTTGTAATGCTATATAATCTTTGATGTGTTGATTACATGTTCCGAAACTGATCAAACCTGCGTACCCTGATGGATTGCAGTCAAAGCGTCTCCCTTCCAGAGATACTAAGTCCATAGCTTTGCTGCGGCATGCTGGATTCTCTCACAGCTCTTGGATCCAAGAAATGCAGCAAGCTTCAGACAAATCTATAATTATAAGCGAGATCCTGGATTCTAGGACTAGAAACCTGGTGTCAGTGTCTAGAATTAGTGATTACGTGCTATCAAATGAGCTTGTGAGTATGGCGCTAGCAATGGTAGCTGAAGACAAGCAAATAAACCGTGTTCTTGAGGAACTCTTTGCAGAAGAGGTACTTTTTCATAACCCCATCCCTTCTTCTCCTAAAGCTTTAAGATTGCTCTTGAATGTGATTGCGTACTTAATTCAGTAAAGAAATACATATAATCTGTAGAACATTAAGTCTTCCTCCCTCACTTTTCATTTATTCCCTCAAAATTGTGAGCCAGGTCCAAGTACAAAGTGAGCATCAAGTGTTACTAGGTTGAATGTGCAACAAAGTGATCTTCATTTGAACAAAAGCGGAAAAAAAATAATGAATTACAAAGCAAGACATACTAAATTCAGTAAAGAGGAGTAGATAGAATCCATAACAGAATAAAATAAAATGGCTTCCTTCATTTCTTTTCAAAAATAATGAGCTATAGGATCAAGTGGCGAGTGGATGTCAAGGATTATAATGTAATATTTATTTGATTGAACAGAAGCAAAAAATCAAGACATGGGTAAATTTTTGGTAGTTTAATCAGAACTACTTCAGCATGGAGTTATTTCAGTTAATATTCCTAATCAGAATATTCTACTATTGTTTATGCAAACTTTTCAAATCTATAGCAGTTCTGCTGTTGTATTAGTATTTATAGCATTGTTATACCAATCTAAAGATTAAGTCATACTACTTGACATGCACCATTATTTCTCGTGTCTGGCTACTTTTGGCTGGGCAATGCAGCCGTTTTTCGAGAGTCCTCCATATTTGAAAACGGATTTTTTTCCTTATTTCTAATGGATGTATCCTTGAATTAACACGTAAAATCTTTTGGCATCGATTGATGATGTGGGTTATATATCAGCAAGTCTGATATGGAGTAAAGGACTTTATTTTCCAGCTCAAGGTAGTTTTTTTTCCCAATTAAAAGATTTTTTTTTTTTTTTTTTTTCATATGCCGAAAGTAAGTTCAAAGATAGCAAAATGAAAAAGTCCTATCTGCTATTTGTCACCATAGTAGATGCATAACATTTTCAACTCTACCCCTCCAAACATTTTTATTTTCTAGACTTTTGTCAACAGCTTACCATACTCATTTACTACTAAGTTTTTAGATATAATCGTCTATTGTCATGATCCTAGTTCTTGTACAAAGCTCTTTCACTCCTAGAGCTTGTTGGTTACAAATTAGACCCCCACCCTATATATAGACCTCCTATCTACTCTCAGCCCTAATTAATTACACTACACACAGTGTTTGCTTGTTGCCTACGTGGTGAAACATCCCTACAAATTGGCGTGGCATGACATTATGCTCAGAATCTCATAATACTTTAGTACTTGAATTAGTGTGAATAGCTTCTGATATTTCTCTCCATTTCATAATAATCAAGTTTTAGGCGGAGCTCAATTGTTTTACAGTATTACTGTTTATTCTTGGAACATCAGTCTCTTTCCTCTGCATGACATTCATGAACTGAAATATTTTCAGGGTTATAAACTAAATTGTTTGTATTTGACTGTTTACTTCCTGCAGGGAAATGAGATGTGCATCAAACCTGCAGAATTTTATTTATATGACCAGGAGGAACTCTGTTTTTATGATATAATGATTAGGGGTCGTCAAAGACAGGAAATTGTGATTGGCTATCGCCCTGCAGATGAAGAGCGTGCTATAATTAACCCTTTGCCCAAGTCACAGCTGAGAAAATGGTCTCTTGATGACGTTTTTATTGTCATTGCTTCAGAGGAATGAGAAGAAACCAATCATATCGCTAGAACTGCGGATGCACTTGATTTCTGCAATTGCTTCGTCTTGCTTTTGCAATTCAATCAGCCATATCTTTATCGGTCAGACCCAACGTCCATTCGCATGAACGTGATACGCTATGGTTGGTGATTTCAAGAATTCCCTATGGAAAGAAAATGGAGGATTATATGTCTTATTCTGTATCCTAGTGGAGCTTCCTGTTGTCTGAAGAGAAATAATTTTCTGACAAGAGTACTCAGTGATGCTCACTTGGACTACTAATCCTAGGATGACTCGGGCAAATCTCCTGTACAAATGTAACTAAATTTGTTAGAATTGTACTAATGTGACGGGGAGAAACCCCATCAACATGCTGAATTTGTTTAATTTGTAACCTTTTTTTGACACCAATTGACATTTTTGTATGTTAATGATCCATAAGAGAAGATTTTGTATGTGAGAATCAGAGTCAAAGTGCGCTTATCTAAGCACGTCCTGTCCTTGCATTTTCTTTGATGTAGTTGCAAAAAATAAAGTTCAAATCTTCCACGTTTAGTTATATGAGTACAAAATAATTCGGGCTCCAGCTGGGCGGACCTCGTCAAGAATTGTGTCTGTGTCCACCTCTTATACCACTGTGTTTGCTGCGTGTTTGCTGTCCAACCCAAAAACTCAAGTTGTTTGAGTAGTGCTACATACTCACCCATATATGCCCCCTAAGTATTTACCATCCGAATCCATTGTGGAATGAGCCTCCCTCTTAACACTTGCCTGTGGTAGTTCTGAAATAAAGAGATTGTGTTCCATTTTTCTTTTGAATTAGAAATAAGAAAACTTCCTATTGTATCAAATTGCATAATTGAGAAGCATTATATGGCACTGTTGATCCAGCGTCAGCACTTCCTGGGCAACAAAATCACACCCCCATTTATAATTTTATTACTAGAATTGGGAAACTCCTCACATGGCAATTGCCATATGGTAGTTTCAGGAATCGACAGCTTTATGGAAGGGTATAAACAAACTAGAAAGTTGGCACGAGGTTTTGACACGGTAGTTCCAATTTCAGTCATGTACCCATCTGGTTCATGGAAGAAGAGTTAAATCCAGTCACCACACTTTATTTATTTATTTTTTTTTTTTTTTTGAGGGGGACAAGTATAAAAAACAAAAATATTACAAAATTTGAAGGCAGGCATACCTTTCCTGTTCACAGAGGAGCAAACATAGTAAAACATGTACAAGCTATGGACTCTATTCAAATATAAAAGTGACAAGTAAAACCAATCACCATGAGTTACTGAGACCTCTCAGGACAGGATAATGCTTTGGAACAACAGGTGATACCACCTCCCTTACACCTGCACGGTCATGGTCAGAGTCACATACTCAATGTTCACCCCATCCAGTGTTTAACATAATGAGTCCTGTCCTAGCATTGAATGAAATGTGGTCGTCTTTCAAATTGACCTTGGCTTCCGTTGTTGGAAAATTACCTGCTTCAAGCAAATGGATTCATTTGAACAAATCTATGGAACACCCACACTTTGTCCATTTAGCTTATCAAATTCAAGGATTTATTCTTTTTTCTTTCAACAAACAAGAAGAAACAAAAAATGAAATCAATCCAGTAAATTTAGCATAAGTCTTGAGTGTGCGAAACCAACTCATTTTTTGATGCCACCCAATGTGATATTGAGCTGAATGTAAATGAGTCCTAACCTTCGAAGTTAGGGATGTCAAATTGAGCCGCCCTGTCTTGCTCCTATTGCAATGTGTTTGGTTGCATTCTAATCGGGTTAGGATCAGCTTCAATTCTTTTCCCTGCTCCCCGGCTTCTCACTTCATTTCGCGAGTTTGGAATAGAGGATAAAACCCATTTCACTCCAAACCCATCATGTTTAGTTTAAAAATATACATAAAAAGATTATTATTTGAGTTTTTGTTCTATTCATTAGTTTTCAATACCTTTTTTACTCGTAATTATAAAGTTCACAATTCAAGCCAAAAAATAAATAAATAAAGTTGACAAACTCCAACTCCCCTGAACAGTCCAATTTTTCCTCACACTTCCTCCTCTTTTTTTTTTCCAAAACAACAAGAAGATGAAATGATGCGCACATCCTAAGGCTGGTCTGTCAGTCCTCCAGTCACCTCCGCTCTTATAAAGTTCTATATTGAATTTGTTTAGGACTGAATTTAGTTGTTTAAATTATGCGTAGCAAGGCACCTCAAACCCACACCAACTCTGATGCCGGGGCAGGGGGATGGTTTGGTAATTGATATTTCTTCATGGAAGGGATTTCAGATCTGAGCACTTTGTACCAAATCCACCCCGTTGACATCCCTATGCTGTGTCATAGGATGTTTTCCAAGCAATTACAACTTGCAAAGCCATTTCATTAGATTGTTTTGTGTATGGATTTTTAATGTGTAGTGAATTTTTTTCTTTCCAAAGCCTCTTTTATGAACAAACAACCAAACTTATAAGCAAACAGAGAAGCAAACCTCTCTAGAAACACATAGGAATTTAAAAATCACATTTCCAAAAGTTAGCCAACAGAAATGAAAGAAAGGAAAAGCCAGCAAAAGAACTAGCAAACCACTCTGCTAAGAGATAACACAATCACCCAGCCCGTCTCATATAAATTTTCAATAATCGACTATGTTCAGTCTCATATAAATTTAATTCATAACTTCCTAATTCTCGAATTCAAGTTTCAAAAAACTTGTGTTTTGCAACAGTAATGTTTGATTTCTTAGAGTAAATTATTCTAGATTCCTCAGAAGTTAAGCAGAATCAAGTCTAAATATTACTTGTGTTCCGTCGCATTTCTTTCTGTACCTTCCACTGTCCTAAAACTTGAGTTCTGGGTTCAAATTCTGTTTTCCCATGACATCTTATATCAAGTTAGGCCAGTTTCTGTCTAAATTTCTCTTGTGATTTCTATATTCTGCAGATTAGGCTTTCAAGTCTTGATACCGATAGTTTTGCTAGATTAACTGAATTATCTCTTGATTATATTCTGACAAGGAATACTTTTTTTATAGAGCCAGAGACAGTTTATGATTTGTTTGATGGTGCTTTGTCTGACCAATTAGACGTGTCATAGACTTTCAAATGTCTTTGTTTCTTGCTCAAAAATTACTCAATAGTCAAAAAATATGATTCCATTTTAGGTGCTTTTTAATGACAAAAACAACATGAATCTTTAACTAATCAAGCTAGAGTTGTTCATTAACAGCTTGATCTGTTTGAATCATTTGCAGACCTAAAGTTGCATATTAGAAGCATCAGAAATATGACTCTATTATCCAGAATACAAAAGTTGACCAGTTTTTCGTGGTTTCAACTACATTTAATCACAACGTTCTGTTAACTAGTGCGGGCTAGTTAACAAAGTACAACAAAAATTAAAATCCTAAATATAATGCAATATGAGGGTCTTAGACTCTTAAGCAAGCCCACTGTCCTTCCTCCTATACTAAGAATGCTATATAACTTTTATAGAAAGATAAGTCGGTTTTACTTATCAAAAAAAAAAAGATAAGTCGGTTTTATGAAGCATCAACGTGAATTTTGTAAAAATGACGCAACATAAAATTTTGCAAAATTAGGAAGTGGGAAACTCACCACCAAACTGCATCCTGGAACATAAGAGAGTATATTATATTGCTATGTGCTCCTTCTTGCATTTCTTAATTTCCGAGTATATGCTGCAAGAGTCTTGTCCTCAAACAAAGCTTTTTGTATATGTAGAATATCCAGACGTCTAAACATCTCAAGGTTCTGCTTCCAAAGCCCCAATTGTATCACCACCCTCACAACCTCTTGACTCGTTTACATTTTACACCCGACTGATTGAATCACCCTCACTACCTCATGCCTTGTTTACGTATTCCTGATTTTTTTGGAAGACAAGAACTTTATCTCCATATTTGGTGAAACTAATTACTTCTGGAAACATATTAGAACCCTAAGTTTGTGTGCTAACTTCAGCCTGTGGATGCCAATGTATAAGGGAATAAAACCAAGACATCCACCTTTGTTAGGTATGGTCCTTGACAAACTATTCTACTCCTTGGGGTTATATCATTTAACACTTTTCAACACCACCCAACGTCCCATTATTCATACAATCAAAATCTGCATTACTTAATTTTCTGTAAAAAACTTGCACACATCTCATCTTGTGCCCAAATGAGGGTACCTTCCAACTGAGCTTCCTAATCACAAAATCTCAACATCCCCATTGTCAAATAGTTAAGATCCTAGTTGTTTTTCAATAGGTTTCAACACACTTAACTGTTGTCAACCTCATCACTCCTCAATCCCCATCCCTTCAATATCACATACATAATCAAACTCAGAAAAGCCATTGAACTCCACTTCTTCTTCTTGCCTACTTCTATAAATTTCTCTTTGTCCTCCTCCTTTGCCATACAAAGTATTCTTCTTTTAATGTTCATCCATTCGACCTCGGTCTGATTTACTCCGTTTCACTGGTTTGTTCATGAGATAAATGTATCGATGCCGCATACCCATCATCGGATGCTTCTCCACCAAAAAGTCCTTCCTATAAGACTCCCTCAAAACCACAGTCTGTGTGCTGTTCTTATTAGATACATAGAAAATGCCCGGATGGTGAACCAACGCCTTCTTAAACCTCACTCCAAACCCCAAATGGTCTCCCAAGCAAAACACATTCTCTTTCTCCGTCTTCTTCGACACCAGGAGATGAAGCAACTCGTGCAGAACCGCCACCGTCCACTTCTCTGCCTGGTCACTATTCGGCGACAAATGAAACCCATCCTCATATGGCGAAATGTAAGGTAGCTTTTGCCACTCATCAACCCAATTCTTCACTTTCTTCTCCAAATCAAACCCATTTGGTAATCTCATCGGGAACGCAATAGGCCTACCCCTTTTACGCTCATGACTCACATTCATCCCCATTTCTCTCTTCTCCATTGCAGAAACTGCAAGCTCATCTCTCCAAGAAATTAACTCCAATGCAAGCACTTCACAGCCATTTGAATCTTTACAATTCATACTACAAATCTGAAAATAATCAGGAAAATCAGAAAGGAGATTGAGAATGTAGTTATGGGGCAAACCCAAATCGAATTTGAACTTATCGATGACACCCAATGGAAGCCTTCGAGCTCTGGTGAGCATCAACAGCTTGGCGAGCCTCTCGGCGGCGTCTTTGCGATGAATCGACGATTTGAGGACTTGGGTTTCCTCCTTGTGGACGGTTAGGGCTTGTGGGGTGAGCTTGACGTGAGGGAGGGACAATGGTTTGGTGGGTTGGATTACTTGGAAGATTGATGGGTACATTTGGACGAATTTTAAGGCGGTGGTGGGGAGATTGAGGTGTTGTTTGTGGGCGGCGGCGGCAGAGATGGGGAGGGTTTTGGAGGGTTGAGAGAGGATTAAGGTTTTGAGAGAGAGGAGTGGTTTGAGGTTTTTCTCCTTTTGGACTGCGGTATCGAGGTAGGGGTCTCGGACCCATTTGACCTTGGCGTCGACGAAGGTGCGGATGGTGATGAGACGATGGAGGAGGTGGCGATTGGTGGCGGAGCTGGTGGAAAAAGCCATATACCGTGGTTATGTATAAGCTTCATGCATTTTGATGTGTGTCGACTGTGGGGTAAACCAAGGACAGTATGATCAGCTGTCATGTAGTGTAGACCCAATGATGGAGGTTGGGTACATATGTAGTCCATGGGTTAACTTTGAGCCCTTTGTTTTACACCATATAATCCATGTCTACAAAACGCCCAGAAACACAAACCATACCAAACGGTCCTCGAGTTATAAAAATCACCAAATGCGAAGACTTAATGGTGTTTTCTCGCCTTACAAAATATAAAATCGAGAATTTAAATCCTTGTAAAAACAATTGGTTGTTGTGTGTTTTTTATCAAGAAAAAAATAATAATAATGAGTTTTGATATAATCTAAGTCACATAAAACGAGAACGAAAGTGTGAGAGTTGTAAAATTAAGTCATAAATGAGAATTTGAGTTAGAGCGCGCGCAGAGCGAGAGAGCAGAAGCGCGTTCGGAACGTGAGAACGATTCCCGTTGAGAATGATAGCGTGACTTAAAATATAATAGTTATTTAGTGCATTTAAATATGTAATATTGGACTCACTTGCATAACAAATTATAATAGAGGACCTTGACTTAGATTTGTGCAAGCCAAAATTTTAGGCGAAAAAGAAATTAGTTTTTTATCTTAATACGGCCTAGTAACAACATTTTTGAAAATTCTGTTTATAGTAATTGGGCACTTGCATTTCTGTAGTCCAGTCTTTTAAATCCTCACACTATTAGGAGGATGGGTACGGATAAGGTTGGGTGGAAAGTGAAATTGGCATGGGCTGTAAATGTAAGAAAATAGTAAAACACGAAGCTCAACTATAACTAATGAGGCGTGAGGGGGTGACTCTTTTGGTTTGCATATATTATTCCCCTCTGCAATTAAATCGACACTTAACCGTGAGACAAATTTCTCTTTCAATAATAAAACTATGCATAAAAAATGAGAAATTAGGCCTCTCATTTGTCACGGCTTTCGACCAGAGTATCATTATTTTTAAATACTAATATTATTCTAAGTACATGTAAAGACCGATTCAACTTTCAAATGACTAGTGATATATTATTTGGGAAGTAAGCTACACAATTCAAACAAATGTCACTCAACAAAATGATTAGTTTGTGCAGAAACAATATGCATTTCACTCAACAAGCTCTATGTTCACGTCTCATCCATGTCGAGAGAGTATAAGAATTTTAATTAAATTTGAAATGAATATATATATATATATATATATATATATATATATATATATCAATTCAAACAAATGTCACTCAACAAAATGATTAGTTTGTGCAGAAACAATATGCATTTCACTCAACATGCTCTATGATCACGTCTCATCCATGTCGAGAGAGTATAAGAATTTTGATTAAATTTGAAATGAATATATATATATATATATATATATATATATATATATATATAAATATAATATCATATTTTTATTTTCATGTATGAATTTGATTAAGTATTCTAATTAAATAATTGAAATAAGGTAGGAAATTAAATTTCTAGTAATTTCCAAAAAACTGTGACAGATATAATTGAATAAGGTAATTTCTCAACTCCCTCAATGCTCCGAAAAAAAATATAGCAGTTTTTTAAATATGTTGGCTTAAGTATGTTGGTGATGGTAGTTGAATAAGTTAGTTTTTTTAAATAAAAAAAAAAAATTAATAAATAATTGTTCTTTTTTTAATTGATTTGTTAAATAAATTTTATGTTTCAGTCCTATCATGTAGTCATTCACGTTATTTGTTTATTTGATGTAACTTTGGAATATATTTTATAATAAAATAAATATTTCATTTATCATTCAAACAAGGGCAAAAATGGTATAATATTATTTTTATTCCAAATCCAATTTGTTCCAAACATATAAATGGAATTTCATTTTAATTCCAATCCTTATTCCTTTTCCAAATTCCAAAATAATTGATTTCAAACAAAGTCAATTATGAGTATGCAAGCAATAATATATACTACAAAATAAAGAAACATTACTCGCAATACAACAAGAAGGATCATCATCGCCAAATACATATCGATACAAGATGAAACTTACACAAATTTTCTCAATGAAGCTACGTAAATTGAATTTAGATTCTGTACTTTTCTTTTTTCTGTTTTTTAAAGTTTGATCCTAATTATTTAAATCATTATAACATGCCATGAATGTCTGGAAAAAAAAATGTATATATATATATATATATATATATATATATATATATATATATATAACTTTCCGTGGAATGAATTGTAAACAGAATCATAAATCAAAGGAGAAAGAGGAAGCATCAACATTCACTTGTGAAATATGTACAGAGGTTATGTTGCCAACATCAACTAAGAAGTTCAAAAACAATAACAGATGTGTTCACTCAATCTGCAACTCAATCTGCACGGATTGCATAGCCGAGTATATCATAGTAGGCATTGAAGAAAACAATCCCAATTTCGGATACCCTTCACTCTTCTGTCGTCAGATGTTGGATCCTCTCTCGTGCAGGCACGTCATCCCGGCACAATTGTTCAACCAGTGGTGCGACATGCTCTGTGACTCGGCTCTCCTAAGGTTGGATGCATGTTATTGTCCCTACCAGGATTGCTCGGCTTTGATTCTGAACGAGTGTGGAGGGGATGTGAGGAGATCGGAATGTCCCAATTGTGATGGGCTATTTTGCTTCCGGTGCAAGCAACCATGGCATGCAGGCTATGAATGCGAAGATCATCATCAGAGTGGTAGCAGTGGTGATGTCGAGTTTAGGGTTCTCGAAGAGAGTAACGAGTGGATGAGATGTCCCTTGTGCAAACATTGCGTTGAACTTGTTGAAGGTTGTTACATTGTTGACTGCAGGTACGTTAGCTCACTTTGTTGCTTATCATGTTTATAGAGCGTGTGTGTGTATATATATATATATATATATATATATATATATGTTTATGATCCATGTTGATTCTTGAATTGGAACACAGATGTGGAATCTGTTTCTGCTACAAATGTGGAAGAGAGGCGTATCATCTACGACATCTGTGCAAAGGCAACTTAAGTTTTTGCTACGGCATTTGTATCAATCTATTGATTTGTATTTTTTATCCACTTATTACTTTGTACCCCCTTGGGGTACGTGGACAGCTCTACATTATTTTGGTTTATCTTTTCCCTTTGTGTCCGCACTGTGGGTTCGCGATTGTTAATACTTCGCTTCTAAATTTATCTTTTAATAAAAGAAGAGTGATTACTTTATGTACCTATTCATGTTTTGGAAGTCACTACAAACTAATTTAGTCCAACTTTAATCACTAAATTAATTATATTTGAGTTCATTCAATTTTAAAACCAAAGTAGGTATTTGAAACCTCAAGAGACATTTGAACCAAAGAGAAGCAAACATGGAAAAACAAACCTCTCAAACCTGGGGGAACTGAAAAAATGGCTCAAACAATTGCATCATCGATCCCTTTTTACGTATAAAAAAATATAAAATAAAAAATCCATCACCCTTATATATTAATGATAGATATATATATATATATATATATATATATATGAGAATCAGTGTCATATATATGAGCAAGCTTAGGCATCTATCATCGATCATAATCATGCTATTCAGATCATCTAACTACATCTCCTTCTTCCACTCCAAATACTTCTCTCCAGATTCTGAGAAGTTAAGCAGAATCAACTTTAAATAAAACTTGTGTTTAGTCACACTTCTTCTGTACCTTCCACTGTCCTAAAACTTAAGCTCTGGCTTCAGAATCTGCTTTTCCTGTGACATATTGTATCAAGTTACTCTAGGTTCTAGATATCCTGAAGATTAGGCTTTCAAATATTGATTCTGATCATTTAATTAGCAGGATTAACTGATTTATCAATCTCTTTGATTATTTTCTGACAAGGAATATTTTGTTTTATAGAGACACAGACAGTTTATGATCGTCCAAATCACGTTGGTCCAACCAATTCGGCATTTCGACATTTCATGTTAGACCTATCTATCTATCTACTGTCTGGCCAAAAAAAAAAAACTATCTATCTACCATTATAAAGTTGAAACGAATTTTTCTTAATTTTAAATATTTTATAATATTAAAAAAATTTATTTAGTTGATAAATAAATTATTTAATTAATTAGTGTACTATCTATCCTGTATAATGTTTCATTTCAGTTATAGAATTTAAAAAGCACCCAATGACCTTTTCAATTGATAATTTTAATATTTAAGAAGGCATCCCTTGCAATTAATTATTTTAATGCATTAGTTTTGTCAATATCTTTCTATCTGCTTAGCCGGAAATGATGTTTTTTTTTTCTTTTCCTATTTTTTATTTTATTCATAACGCTATTTTTTATATGAATGTTATATATGTACGAGTGTAGAGTGTTTTTTTTTTTTTTTTTTTAATTAATTAACCTACTTTCTTTAGCGTATAATATATGTATAATTCATTAATTTTAATTAATATATAAACGAGGTTAATAAAAAAAAATCCAAGTAACCATGTCAATTAATTATTTAATTTTGTTGGTAATTATTAATATACAAATGAGTTAATAAATAAATTATTATCAATTTAGTGCACTATATAATGTTTTTATCTTTATGAATTCATATAATAGTTACAGCTCATAACATTTTGTAATCAAAGTAACTTTTATGAAAAATTACAATCGTTTTAATCAGGTGCTGCTTAACCGGAAATGATGTTTTTTTTTTTTTTTTTCCTGATTTTTTATTTTGTTCATGACGCTATTTTTTATATGAATGCTATATATGTGAGTGTAGAGTTTTTAAAATTTTTATTAATTAACCTACTTTCTTTAGCGTAAAATATATGTATAATTCATTAATTTTAATTAATATATAAACGAGGCTAATAAATAAAATCCAAGTGACCGTCTCAATTAATTATGTAATTATGTTGGTAATAATTAATATACAAATGAGTTAATTAATAAATAAATTAGTATCAATTTAGTGCACTATATAATGTTTTTATCTTTATGAACTCATGTAATAGTTACATGTCATAACATTTGTAATCAAAATAACTTTTTAAAAAAAATTTATAATTGTTTTTATCAAGTGCATTACATGTGATGGAGGTTAAGAGTTAGAATCTCTTCAGAGTAATTCTCGAAATTTTTTTTTTTTTTCTTAGTTAATACTCACATACACATATTTATTCTAAGACTTGAACCCCCGACCTTTTTTTAGGAAATAAGAGGCCGATGCCGTTAAGTCACTAACATGTTGATTTTTCGAAAAAAAAATTCAACCACTGCTTATGCCCAATGATAAATTATAAAATGTTCAAAGTGGCCTGATCACTATTGTTAACATCTATATCTAAATCTGTACTACCATTTATAGAATTCTGATTATTTCTATATATTTTTATTTAACTGATACAACCTTATGTACCTAACTATGTTTCAACTATTACAATCTTATGTATCTCTCTCGAATTTTAAATAAATGTCAATTTTAATATGGTCCAAAAAAGCGAAAATCAACTATCTTTTCACCTTTTATAAATCATCACTTGGAAACTGTAATTGACATCATATTTCTATAGTTCGGAGTTTTAGTCAACAGATGGCAAATCAGGTCGGTTGTACTCGGAAGAGTTATACCCAGAGAAAATATCAATTTTGAGCAAGAAACACGCAAGCTATATATTCTCAATTCAATTGCAAGCACTTATGAAAATATGCTATTAATCACAATGATATATTTTTTAAAATAAGAATAAAAATCATAGTCTTAAACCATATATTCATATAATCACAATTTCTAATTTTATTCCAAATATTTATGAAATTTTTTTTTTTTTTTTTTTTCCAAATGTTTAAGAGAAAGAAATTGTGTAACAAAATATTCAAACCATATAAAAACATGTACTCTTATATATAAATAATAATGTATTAATATATTTTAAAATTTAAAAAATAAATAAAAACACATTTTACCAAACATGTTTCTTATTTTTGTTTCAGCAATTTTGATAACAGTTTAACTCTGTCAAACATGTTTTGTTTTCAAATTTCTTGAAACTAAAGAACTTGCCAAACATGTTATACATATTTTTGCTTCTGAAATTTTTACTCTAAATTTTTGCCATAACACTTGCTTTGTTTTAGGGTAAAATAAAATACAAAAAGCAGTACCAAACATGGCCTACACAATGGAGAAGAAATTCAAAAGTAAAAGAAGCTTACTAGTAGATTTTAGACATGTTGAGGATAATTTGCTCAATTCAATGAAAGTGAAAAATAAAATTTTAAAATGGACTATTTTGTTATTATATATTTTTTTATTTTAAGTTATATGGTTTATTTTAATTGAGAAGGTTTATTTTAATTGATACCTCGTTTGATTATTAAGTAAATTAGTTTATTTATAAATGAATTAAAATACCTTGACTCCTTTTATTTTTAATAATAATATAAATATAGATATATGTAAGCTAAGTTGATTTTAATTAATATGTGTGACCATTTTAGTGAAAAAAACTCATTTATTTCAGATTTTCATGTCCGCTTTAGAAATTTAACCATATATATATATATATATATATATATTTTGTTTGGAAATGAAATTTATCAGAACAAAAAAAAAATGTTAAAAAAAGAGAAAATTTTCAAGAACTCGTCTCAGTCGCTTTACCAGCTTATTTCTGAAAAGCAACTCTTCACCTTTCAAATCCCGTCCTCGGTGTATCTTTGTATTTTCATCTCAACACTTCTTGACCTTCTCCACCCCACGGTCCCCAACACACACACACATTCACACACTCGCACATTCTTCCCAGAAACTAGGGTTTCAGGTCCATCTATGGATTGCTCGAACTCGATTGGGAGCTCCGATTCACCATACGAGCTTTTGCTCAGGGCGCTCTCTCTCATACCCATATCTCACTACGTTTTAGGGTTTCTATGCATTTTTCTCGCATTCGTCTATTACTTTCTTGAAATGCACATTCTTCAAGATATATTCACGGGCTTTAGAGGACAACCCGTCTCATTGACCTTCAATTCTTGCTCTGAGGTGTATCAAGAAGTCGCTTCCAAGTGTCCAATTCTTCACGGAAGGTCAAACTTAGTAAAAACCGTCGTAATTGGAACTTATATTGCTTGCTTTTGAAAACTAATTTGTAGGATAGTTATGATGATGATTTACTGTGGAATCTTGTTATTGCTTTTGAATTCAGATGATGTGGATATGTATATATATTTTTTCTCTTCCTATTTTTAACACCCATGGAATAATTGACATCAATTTGAGGTTTAGTTATTACTTGGACGTGAAAGTTTGTGGTTTTGTGATTTTTTTTTGTTTTTAAAAATATTTAGGAAAATGATGCATTGTTTCAAGATCCTAGTTTACACTCTGCATTCCAAATCATTTGGTTTTATGAGTTTTTAAGGTATTGTTGAAGGTTTATGTAATATATACTGTATATATATTGATCAACAGGCCCGTGGAGGCACGTGTGTGTGAGTACCAATTAGGAAAAAAAAAAAAAAATGTATATATACTGATTAAATAGTGGTGCTCTAATTTTACTTTTCAATACTTACCTTACGAATTGTGGTTTCATGTTACAGTGTTTAAGCAACCACAACATTTATTTTGTTAGCTTTGGATTCGAATTACATGCTTTTCCTGTGCTTGTTTTAAGGATGTTAAATATTTTTCCTAAATTGATAAAATAGTAGGGTTATGATTCAATGTCTCAATACTTGCATTACAAGATATGTGGTTATGATTTTAAGTATTAGTACAAGAACTAAAAAAATCATGGTCTGATGTGGAGTTTCAGTTCTAAATTTTGTCTTACTGATTTTATTATTTATCTTTTCATTTAATGGCTAAATAATATAATTTAGAGTTCTTATTTTATAAATTTGTATTATGGGGATTTTTTTTGTTTGGTAATTTATTACGGGACTTTATGGTGTTGGTTTATTTATTAGAATAATTATGATTAAACTTGGAGTTATTAGAGTTTCTGTGAATATCTTGAAGTCACCAAAAATGTGCTTTTATTGTGTTGGTTTATTTATTTTTGTAATTTGCTCATATATTGGCTTCAAAATATGCAGTTTTTTCTTTTCTTTTCTTTTTTTTTTTCCTTTTTTTTTGTTTGTGTTTTTTCTTCTTTTTATTCCATATAATTGTTAGATTGCTTATACTCAACTCAACTCGAATAAGCCTTCTCTCAACTATTTGGGGTCGGCTACGTGATATTGTTTTGCCGTTCCACTCTATCTAAGGTCCTAACGTCACTGCCATTTCACTCTATCTAAGGTCATAACATCATATAAGACATTTGCTATCTTTTCTAATTATTAAATTGCTTATAAGTTAATTAGAAGATGAATTTCTTATTTTTGGAATTTGGATGCATACATTTTATATATTTTAGTTATCCTCCCGTCTAATGTTGCAGGTATATGGCTACACCATGGCTCGCTAGTCCGCATCTTCAGACTGCTTTTCTGAGCTTCTTTGGCAGGCCTCCTGTTTTCAGCTATAGGAGGTGGTATTTTGATTGATTTTTTTTTTTTTTTGTTCATTTTTTTCTATTTATGCATTAATATGGATGGATGCATACATTTTATATATATTAGTTCTCCTACAGCTTTTTTCTCTAAATTGTTTTTGGTGGATGTACATGGCGAATTTTCTTCCTGGAATAGTTCATCTAACCTTTTCTTTATTATATTTCAATTGTCTAGTTTTAATTATCATGCTGCATTTTTTCTTTAAATTGTTATTGGTGTATGTACATGGTGAATTTCTGTGCCAGGTTTGTCCCTTCATGTTATAGGCAATTTATCTGGGATATTGATGCAACAAGATATCCGTATGCTAGTACAACAAATTTTAAAAGAATAATACATGGATACGGTGAGGACAATGATGTATAAAAATTAATAATTTATCAGTTTATGTTATGTGTTAGCATTTATGATACCACGATTTATGATATAACTTACCATAATAGCAGAGATTTGACTATGCTATAGAATATGCCATAGAATATGCTTTAAAATAAGTTGTGATTTGATTTTGATTTGATTTAGTTTCGTTTCTTGTAGTATGAGCATGTGCTCATTTTATCTATAAATACTAGAGCTGTGAATGAGTAATTCATCTCATTCAAGCCTTTATGCAATTCTCTCTTTTCTTTTCTTTTTATATATTTCTACTTGGTATCAGAGCCAACACCTTTCCACACCTTTCAGCAGCCATGCTACTTGTGCGACAGCTACCTTAGGCTGTTTGTGACATCGTGTGACGTTGCCTACACATGTTTTTCTGTGTTGCTGTTTTGTGATCGAAAACAAGTATTTTTAAGTTTTACAATTTCTTTTTCACTCTTCTAGGGTTGGGTAAATTGGGATAGTTGGTTTCCAACACCTAGAAGGGCTTGGGTAAAAAAAAATTAGTTTACAAAAAGGTTCCGAATATTAAAAAGGAGGCTGTCTGGCTATATGTAAGCGGGCAGCGCTCCTTAAAAAAGGTATGTATTTGGATTTTTCGGGAATGGTCTGAGGAGACCCTTTGATTTATTAACAGAATTTGTGATGTTTTTGGAGGTTTTTTTTTTTTTTTTTTTTTTTTTTTTTTTTTTTTTTTTAATTGTCGTGTGACAGATTATGGCAGATTCAAGGTCCTCGACTGTTAATTCTCTTGGCTCACGTTCTGTGGGTGGTGGTGCCATTTTTCCCACCAACTCATCAGAAAATCCAGGACTTCAAATCACCACAGTAGAGTTGAATGGTTCCAACTATTTGATTTGGGCACAGTCTGCCAAGATGTTTATTGGTGGCAAAGGCAAGATTGGCTATATTACTGGTTCTGAGAAAGAGTCAGCTGAGTCAGAGAAGGCATATCCACAGTGGTTTGTAGATAACGCTATGGTTATGTCTTGGCTAGTTAATTCGATGCAACCAAACATAGCTGTTGGCTATATGTTTATGAAGACTGCTAAGCAGATTTGGGATTCAGTTCAACGCACTTATTCTCAGAGGTAGAATAATGCACGAATTTTCCAGCTGGGGCGAGATATCACCAGGATTTCTCAGGGTGACTTGACGGTTTCAGGTTACATCGCCAAGCTTCGTGCTATTTGGGAGGAGATGTCATATTATGATTCCTTCCACTCTTTGAAGGATCCAGATGATGCAGTTTTATATGCAGGAATTGTGGATAAAAATCGAGTGTTTCAGTTTCTTGCCGGGTTGAACGACGAGTTTGACTATGCTTGTGTTTATTTATTGGGCTTATCTTCATTCCCTACTCTTGAGGATGCATATTCCTATGTGTTGTCAGATGAGAGCCGTCGGACTCATCCATTAGGTGCTGCTTCTGTTGATCGTTCTGCTATGGAAGTTCGGATTCCCAACCTTTCAGGAACTTCACCATCCCAGTCAGTTCAGAGCATTACCACCGGTCCTCCTCTGGGACGATAACGTGGATGGTGTGACCATTGCGGAAAAATAGGTCACATCAAATCTCGTTGGTATGCTCTACATGGATGTCCACCGCAACAGAAACAACAGCTTCGATCCTCTGCACATTCTGTTACACAACCAGTCTCGTTGTCAACTCCTGACAACCCCCCTGCCTCTACATCTTCTGCCATATTTACCTTGACTCAAGCTGATTTGGACAAGTTTAAGCAATTCTTCAACCAAATGGAGGCATCATCTCAGCCAACCTCCACTTATGCCCACTCAGGTACTATTGCGTCTGCACATAGCGTATCTACATCTTCAACACCATGGATCATTGATTCTGGTGCTTCAGACAATATGACTGGTATGTCCTCACTCTTCCAATCTTATAGTATCTGCTCTGGCCAACGCAAGGTCCGCCTTGCGGATGGCTCTCCATCTTCCATTGCTGGGAAGGGTCACATATCAGTTACTCCTTCATTAACTTTGTCAAATATACTTCATGTTCCAAAGTTGACTACAAATCTTATTTCTGTTAGTAGCGTTACCAAACAATTAAATTGTAGTGTAACGTTCTTTCCCTCTCATTGTATTTTTCAGGATCTGGTGTCGAAACGGACGATTGGCAGTGGGCGTGAAGTAGACGGTTTATACCTGTTGGATGTTCCTTTGTCACCTCAAGCACATTCAGCTTCATTTTCTAATATTGTTTCATCTAATAAAGCCCAGCTTATGCGTTGGCACATGCGTTTAGGACATTTATTTTGGTTATTTGAAACATTTATTTCCTTCCTTATTTTGTAACGTGGCAGTGTCAGATTTATCCTGTGAAACATGTCATATGGCTAAACATGTTCGTTCCAATTATCCTGTTAATAGTAATAAATCTGCTTTAACACCTTTTGATCTTGTTCATTCAGATGTGTGGGGTCCTTGCCCAGTTACTTCTAGTCTTGGATTTCGATATTTCGTGTTGTTTATTGATAATCATAGTCTTGTTACTTGGGTTTATCTTATGAAAACCAAAAATGAGGTATACACCATTTTTAAAAAATTTATGACAATGGTTCAGACTCAATATGGTCGTACCATAAAAAATTCCGATCTGACCAGGGTACAGAGTACACTTTTGGGGAGGTACAACGGTTATGTACAGAATTTGGGATTGAGCATCAGCTGGCTAATGTTAAAACTCCTCAACAGAATGGTCGTTCTAAGAGAAAGAATCGCCACATCCTTGACTTAGCCAGAGCAATCTGCATTGGTATGAATGTTCCCCAGTCATTTTGGGGAGATGCAGTTCTTACCGCTGTTTACATCATTAATAGGACTCCTTCTAGGATTCTTAACTTTGCGGCTCCACTCTCAATCTTATATCCCAATTCATCTTTATTTTTTATTCCTCCGCGAGTCTTCGGGTGTGTGTGCTTTGTTCAACAGTTGGGCAAACTCGTACAAAGCTTGACCCCAAGGCTTTGAAGTGTGTGTTTGTAGGCTATTCTCACTCTCAAAAAGGTTATAGGTGTTACCATCCTCCCAGTCGTCGGCAGTTATATCCATGGATGTTTCTTTCTTTAAGCATACACCATACTATAGTGGTTCAGTTGGTTCTCAGAGTGAATGGTTCCCATTAAATATAATGAATGATCACCTTCTTCCGTCTTCAACTCCTCTACCATTACCTGTTTCTTCTTCTATAATTCCTCCTCGTGATACCCCTCCAGCAGGGGGAATTGTTCCTTTTTCACAGGTTTATAGTCGGAGACAACAGGTATAAGCTTCTACTCCCACGATCGACTGCCCTGTTCCTTCGGCACCAGCTCCGCCTTCTCAAGCTATTGTTTCGCTTGATGATCGCCCCATTGCTCTTCGAAAGGATAAACGTTCTTGTACTTACCCTAGTTCTAATTTTGTTTCTGATTATACTCTCTCACCCTCTTATCGGAGTTTTCTTGTTTCTATTGCCTCGGTTCCTATTCCTTCCAGTATTGCAGATGCACTAGCACAACCTCAATGGCGTGATGCTATGACAGAAGAACTACAAGCATTTGAGAAAAATTAGACTTGGGACATGGTTCCGCTTCCTATTGGACGAAAGGCTGTGAGTTGTCGTTGGGTGTTTACAGTTAAGCACAATCCAGATGGGTCAGTTGTTCGTTACAAGGCCCGATTGGTTGCCAAGGGTTTTGCTCAGACTTATGGCATAGATTATCAAGAGACTTTTGCCCCTATTGCCAAGATGAATACCATCCGTGTATTATTTTCCGTTGCTGCAATTCGATCTTGGCCTCTATTTCAGTTAGATGTCAAGAATGCCTTTCTTAATGGTGATTTGCAGGAGGAGGTGTACATGGTTCCTCCTCCGGGCTTTCGTTCTCCTGCTCATTCTGGTATGGTATGTCATCTTCGTCGTTCTCTATATGGCCTCAAGCAGTCTCCTCGAGCTTGGTCTGATCGCTTTGGCACTGCTATGCTCAAGTTTGGTTTCCATCAAAGTGCAGCTAATCATACCTTGTTTTAACGTCATTCAGGCGGTAAGACAGTTGCTCTTATTGTGTATGTCGATGATATTATTCTTATCGGCGATGATACTACCGGAATTAATGAGGTTAAGAGCTATCTTGACCGTCAGTTTGAGATTAAGGATCTTGGTCCCCTACGGTACTTCTTGGGCATTGAGGTGGCTCGTTCCAAGACTGGCATTTTCATCTCTCAACGCAAGTATGTTCTTGACTTGCTTTCTACTTCTGGTCAGCTTGGCGCTCGTCCTGCTGATACTCCGATTAAGCAGAATCATCGGTTGGCTGATTCTGAGGGGGAGTTGTTGTCAGATATTGGTCAGTATCAACGACTTGTGGGGAAGCTCATCTATTTATCCATGACTCGACTTGACATTGCTTATGCCGTGAGTGTCGTGAGTCAATTCATGCACTCTCCTCGTGCCCCACACCTTGATGCAGCTATTTGGATTCTTCGCTACTTAAAAGGGTGTCCAAGCCGTGGTATTTTGTTTGCTAATCATGGTCACTTACGTGTTGAGGCTTGGACAGATGCTGATTATGCAGGATCAATTTCAGATAGAAGGTCTACTTCAGGTTATTGTACCACTATTGGTGGTAACTTGGTTACTTGGCGCAGTAAGAAGCAGGATGTTGTCTCTCGATCTAGTGCAGAGGCAGAGTATAGGGCTATGGCTCTTGGGGTCGGTGAGTCGCTTTGGCTGAAAACCTTGGTGACAAACTTGTGCCTTCCAGTGTCGCTTCCATTCTCACTCTACTGCGACAACAAGTCTGCCATTAGCATAGCAGCAAATCCCGTTCAGCATGACAGGACTAAGCATATAGAGGTGGACCGTCACTTCATTCGAGAGAAGATCATCTCTGGTCAAATTTGCACTCCATTTGTCACAAGCTCCCAGCAGCTTGCAGACATTCTTACAAATGGCATCAGCAAGATTGTGTTTGAGAATGCATTATCCAAGTTGGGCGTTTCAGATATCTACGCACCAACTTGAGGGGGAGTGTTAGCATTTATGATACCACGATTTATGGTATAACTTACCATAATAGCAGAGATTTGACTATGCTATAGAATATGCCATAGAATATGCTTTAGAATAAGTTGTGATTTGATTTTTATTTAATTTAGTTTCCTTTCTTGTAATATGAGCATGTGCTCATTTTATCTATAAATACTAGAGTTGTGAATGAGTAATTCATCTCATTCAAGCCTTTACGCAATTCTCTCTTTTCTCTTCTTTTTATATATTTCTACTTTATGCTTATGTTTGTGAATATATCTGTAAAATATTAAAAACAATTGCTGGTCATTTTTATCAGTTTATATATATATAGGCATATGTTTTTGAATGTTTGAAAATTTAAAAATAATTGCTGGGATTTTAGACACATCTTTTATTACTTGTAAAAAAAATATTGATCTCCTTCCTACAAAATTGAAATGCCCCCTTTTGGGCTTCAAGCTTTTCTGGGAAAGTGCCATTTAATTTGTAATGGGCTGGACGCTTTCAAACTGACCAAAAGCTTAAGTTGTTGGGTGGTGCTTCCTACATGCTCTTATAAGCCCAAGACCCTCCCCATCCCAATCCGACGTGGGACAGGACCCGTATGACAATAAGCTCATAAGTCTTGCCGGTTAGCATCTGTATGTTCTGTGTTACTAGTCTAATGTTTTTGTCTCTCTTATTACTTTTAGTTGTAATATTGTTATGAGAATTCATTATAAAGATTTGACATAGTTTTGTGATTGTCTGTGTACCTTACACCAACCCACCTTTTACATAGTTTCAAATGAAAGTAGGAGCTTCCAGCTCATTGTTGCTTGGTATATTTAGCAAGTAGGGTGAGTGTGAAAGGCATGCACCAAATCGAGATGAGCATTTAAAAATAGTGTACTTGAGATGTGAAGTGTTTTTTCATCTTCTGTGTGTGGCCCTCCACCTACCCCTCCTCCTTCTCTCTCACCCTTTCCTCCTTGAGCAAATGAATGCTATTTTATGAAAGCATTAACACTCCGCATCAGAGGTGGAATTTTGTAATAAAGTGAACAATAATACTTTCTTCTTCTAATTGTATAATCTTCTTCATCTTTTGCTATTTAATCTTTAAGTACAAAATTGGCATTTTACATCCTGCTGTACATACGAAGTAATATAGGATTGATATCTACTTTTGGAGGTTAAGCAATTATCTAGATCTTCTTTTTTTAATTTTATTTTTATTTTTTCAGTATAATAATTATTTAGCTAGTACTAATGTATTATTGTCCGCAGGCAACTATTTCATACATCTGATGGTGGAACAATAGCTTTGGATTGGCTGATGAATTCTGATGGTAATTGACTCCTCTCATTGCTTATTTTGTTTTGGATTTATTATTATGACTATGTAACTTGAAATGGTTACTTTTACTTTAGTTCGTTTTTTCTTTGGGTACGATGGAGGGTAAAAGGCCTAAGAAATTACGGACATTGGATTGCATACTCACTAGTGCTGCAACATGGGTGGGCTAACCCGAGCCCGAACCAAAGCCAACCCGAATCTGTTTTTGAGCTTGGATAGTGTTGTGTAGAATTTGGCAGAGGCTTGGGCTGAAAAGGAGGGACCCAAATTCATTTTAGTCCGGGCTCGGGTTCATATGTTGGCAAACACGAGTGGGTGAGGGAAAAGGCGTGCAACAAAATGACCCTTCTGACTTGAGTGATCTGCTTAGGAACTCGCTTAAATTCCATGAAATTGGACATTCTTTACTTACTAATGCTAACATGAAGGAATTTCTCATTGATTGCACAAGCTAGGAAGCAAGCAAGCAAGCAAACCCCCCATTTTCAAGTCAGTTAGGAATCAGGACGTTGAGTTATTACACAGGTAAATCCTCCCCCTCAGTTCGTTCGGAATTTTTTTATCCAATGGGCAAGCAGGTTCCACAGGTTAGGAGGCTGCCTTTAAGTGAGAGGGGTGCCCATCTTCTTTGGAATCATTCCAAACACCTTGAGAATCTTCAATGCCAGTGATTTTGAGGTAAGAAAGGCCTCAGGCAGGTCTATACAAGCACCAAAAAAAAAAAGGAAAACCAAGCTTGAGGTCAGCTAGTTATGTTAAAACTTCCATTCCAGGCAGAGCTTTCAAGATATGCATCTCGAAGGATTGTTCGGGTTTGCATGGCTCGAAATTCCCCTGCCTCGGCCTCAAGGACTCCCCTTTCTCTAATAATAAGGCAAGCTTGGCCAATATGGAGTTTACAGTCAATAGGTAATCCTTGAAATCCTAATACAATGACTAGTCGCTGCAAAATCTTCTCCTTATTGATGGGACTGGCGGATGGAACAGCCGAGGCTGCTTATCGCTGATCCTTCTCCACTTCACAAGCTTGAACCAACCATATCATGGCCAGCTTGGAAGTCAGCCACTACTTCCTCAAGCTCTGCTTCGAGCTTGAGAAGTTTCTGTTGCTGCTCATTTCGATTGACTCGCACTAGCTGATTCACGTCAGTTGCCACTTTCTTTTGCTTCGAGCTTTAGAAGTTTCTGTTGCTGCTCATTTCGATTGACTCGCACTAGCTGATTCACGTCAGTTGCCACTTTCTTTTAGGTCCTGTTCAGAGGGGAAATCCCATACAGGCTCATCCTTACGTGAAAGGAAATCGAATCTTTCTTATTTGTATATCATTAATTCACATTCCCATCTCAAATTAGCTATGTGGACCAATCCAATTTGTGAACCAGATTGTGTTTGCATTATATATTTGTCTAGCTTGCATATTTTTTGGTACTATGCAAAACAATATTCATTTCCATAAAAGAATATGCATCCAGATACCATTTTTTTTGGATACTTATGACATGGCTTGATGGGACATTCAGCACTTGTCAAGGTGGAGAAATGAGTTGGTTTTGTTGCATTCCAAATGCTTTTGTGGATTGTATTAAAATCTAATGTGATACGAAATTATAATATGATAAATTGTCTTATGTATTTACTAGCGTGTGTCTTTTTGTGCTTCACTGACCACATATACTTGTTAAATACACATTTTGTTCATAATATCTGATGGCCAACTATTCTGCAGTGTCTTTATTAATACTTTCTATAATTGCATTATATATTATACTGTTACTTTAGACCTTAAATGGGTTCGATTTTGGAGTAATCTTTTGTTGATTTAGACAAAGTCCAGATGAAAAATTACACAAAAACTCTAGTACATTTAGTGTTTCTGTAGTTAGTTTGTAACATAGTAACATGTGTTTCCAAGGTTGGTCACTTATGCACGTGTAATAGTTTATGGTTTACATTATGTGCTGATTCTTGCATTCCTTTTAATGGATGGATATTTTCTTTCATATAGAGAGGATTAGGGTTCTATTTAACTTTTATATTTGATATTTGTAGTTCCTGAATCTGCATTGCAAGTGAGCAGGGCATTATTTAAAAAGGATAAAACCCCTATTATAATAGTGATTCCTGGCTTAACAAGCGATTCTGCTTCTGCTGTAAGTTTTCTTCACGTTTCTTTCTTTTTCGATATCTTCAATCCCTTTAAAAAAAAAAAAAAAATTGTCCAAGCTCATTTTGACTATGATGCGCTAGGAGTATGTGGTCTGATACTTGAGTTAAGGGTTTGTAATGGTCCGAAGTGCTGAAAGGGGGAATGCTCCGAATCAGACTGGCGGGACTGAAAACTTACAGGAAAAAGGGATGTAGTGCAGATGTATTAGGGGAGAGAATAAAGGCTAGATGGCAGTCACGGGCCTATGTCTTTACGTCATGCCAGTACTGCTATATATATTAGTCCTGTCATGTGATGCATGTGACATAGAGACGTGGCATCTTGTAGTTCGCCACGTTTTCCCTCCTTTCCATCTCTCTGTCAAGGCGTGAGTGTCCCTTCCCCTAGGACAGGAGTCACGACTATTTGTTCCTCCTTTTAGTTCTTTTATTTTATCTGTGTAATATATGTGACAGTACATTAAGCATTTAGCTTTCAAGATGGCGCAAAATGGCTGGAATGTTGTTGTGAGCAATCATCGGGGACTTGGCGGCATATCAATAACGGTAATATTTTCCTGTACAAAATCCCCCACCCCGCCTCTTTTCTATTGAGTAGTTACATCTTTATTTATTTATTTTTTTCATATCTGTTTTAACACTATGCCAAATAACAATGGTCCGTCCCAAGCATGATTTGGGCCTAAAATTAGATACCAAAACACAAAACGGAATCAACAGGGCATGCCAAACAGGCCCTAAATGTAATTTTTAATGGTTTAATTATTGAAGGAAGTTTAATTGTATCTCCTGCCTCTACACTTTTTTAGTGGTTTATAAAAATCCTCAAGGTGTTTATTGTACATTTAATACACCAACAGGCCTAACACATTGTGGAGAGGGAAATTTAATGCCTTTTTTGGCTTGGATTTCTGAGAGTTGGTATCTAGTCTTCACAAAGGAAATGTAATTTTTTTTTTAAAGTCTGAAATTTACCTTTATATGACCGTTGGGGCGTTGCTAGGTGATATGCACAGGAGGTTCTGGATGGTTTGCTGCCTTTAATATAGTATCAAAAGAGAATTCTAACATGCTTTTTAATGGGGTTAGAGGTGTAAAGGATAGTATATACAGGAGAGAATAATGATTTGCCTTTGTTATAGGATAGAGGTCTAAAGGACGGTATATAGAGGAGTAGCGTATGATAATTTATTTCAAGAGGAACATAGTTCTAGGAAGCTGTTTCGGGAAACTACCATAGGAGCCAATTTTATGGATAAATAATTTAAAATTTCATTTCTTTAACAAAGAAGCATGTGAAATTTTCTTTATTGGAAATTGGTAGAATTTATCTTTATCTTTATTTGTTTGTAGTTGGAAAAGAATTACTTTTTCAAGGCCAGCCAGTTATGTGGCCTCATTTTAATTAAAGGGCAAGTATATGTATAAGCAGATGAAACCCCTATGAAGACCACTCTGGTTACACATGTTATCAAGGAGAAAGACATGAAGTAAGGCAAGCATTTGTTATATCCTATAATCATTTTTTAGCACTTGGAACAAGGATAAAGACATGAAGTAGGGTCAAAGTTTATAATGGTCCGTGGTCATAGCGTAGCACTTGTTAAGCTGGAGGTGCATATCACACAAACCTTTTTTTTTTTTTGTTTCTGGTTATATGTTTCATGTGTAGTTTTTTTTTATGTATTATAGTGCTGGTTAGATATCACTCAAAAGTTTCTCGGCATATGAATAATGCTTCTTATATATAGTTAACCGCTTAGGTCTCTTTCTTGTTCATGTATTGGGCAGTCTGATTGCTTCTATAATGCTGGCTGGACGGATGATATACGTAAAGTCATTGACCATATTCATTGCCTATACTCAGAAGCTCCTCTATTTGCTGTAGGAACTAGCATCGGTGCCAATATTCTGGTAAATAAATTCTATTGATTTGTGTTCCTTCTTTTGTTTCTTTTTCTTTTTTTCCCTTCTTGTTTTCCCCTTCTATGTAAGTAGATACTTTTTTTCACTTATCAAAAAAAAATTGTAAGTAGATACTTTTTTTCAAAAAAATCTGGTCACATTCCGACTTTCTTTATGGACAAGAACAAAAGCTGTTTTGGTCCAGGCCCAAAAATACGTAAAAATTAGATATGAGATAGGGCCTTATATTGACAGAAGTCAAACAGGTCAGAGGTAGAGGTAGAGGTCATCAAACTTCACATTGGGCTGCATCTTTTGGTTTTCTTGATGGGCGCACTTGCACAAACCGAATTTAGGCTATGTTTGGTATAACAGGAGGGAAAAGAAACAAAGGATAACATTATTATGAGAGAAAGGAAATGAAAAGAAAAGAAAGAATAGTGGTAACCACTCATCTTGTTTGGTTGATTAATGAGGGAAAAGAAAGAAAATAATACTGTTAGCACTTTATCATGTTTGGGGACAAAAAGGAAAGGAAATGAATTTTTTTTAATGAATTTACCACTATACCCTTTCACATTAAAAAGACAAATATACAAGTAAGAAGTGATAAGACTTGTGCTAACAATTTGAAAACAAATAAAGGGTTAAATAGAATTAAAAAAATGCCCTAGGACTCATTTGGTATTTTCTTTTTGTTTTTTATAAAATAAGGACAAAATCGGTATTAGAAAAGTTTTATTAAACTTTGTTGCCCGTTTCTTCCATTTCCTCCCATTTTTGGAAGGACAACAAAGTTACTCATCGTGCCTTATATGTATCCCTCCAAATCCTCCATTTCCTTTCTTTTCCTTTAATAATTTATGCCAAACATAATATCCTATTTCCCTCCATTACCTTTCTTTTATTTTCCTTCCATTTCTCTCCAACCAAACTGGGCCTCTAGTGAGAGAAAGGGAGAGAACAGAGGACCAAAACTATTTATTGACAACTTTGACTGACGAAGTTTAATCCATCTGAAACTCTTTGAGGAATTCAGCTGCTTCTTTCTTCTTTTTTTTTCTTTTCTTTTTTTTTTTTAATTTTTTTTCTTTTTGACGAGGATTTAGTGATTATCAAAGGATGATTCGAGTTCTTTTTAACAGAGCTGAGACTCATTTAAGTATGAGAATCTTGAGGTAGCTCAGTTAATGATGTCCTCTTGGGGCTTGTCTTGGAGAAGGTGATTCCCAGAGAATGAGTGAGACCAGTGGCTATAGAAGCTACTTTTTTGGTAGCTTGGTTAATGCCGACTTCCTGTTGAGTCTTGACTGTTGCAGTCACCCTAACATCCAAGGGAAACAGCCCCCGTAAGGGTGAGTCACTTGGTAAGTTGGTAGCGCTGAAATGTCCCCAATACCTTTTCTGAAGCCAATGATGCTGCTGTGAATATTAAGAATTTAGATGAGTGTAGCTTCAGTTCCGAATATGCATAACAAGGGAATGCTAGTTTTAGAGTTCCAGGACATCCAATTTCTCCTGTTCCCTCTAATATCTCAAGGCTTGAAGGGTTCAAACGCCAGTTCACACTTTGAATTGGCCAGCTTTTGTCCTGTTCCCTCTAATATCTCAAGGCTTGAAGGGTTCAAACGCCAGTTCACACTGTGAATTGGCCAGCTTTATTAACTCGGATTTATCATTTCAGGTAAAATATCTTGGCGAGGATGGGATTAATATTCCTATTGTTGGGGCTGCTGCTATATGTTCTCCTTGGGACCTATTGGTTAGTATTTGATATTGGGAAATGAAATTTTTTTATTGGCATTCAACTATCTCTGCATCAAAGTCCATGTTTTAAAATTAGTTTTTGCTATATATTTATACTTAATATTTTTTACTATAGTCCACTCTAGAGGGTCGCTGTCCATAATATGTTCTAGTTACAAAGAGTCCTTGCACTAAGCTCACTATAGAGGGTCACTGTCCGTAATATGTTTTATTTTCACAGTCCTCATTTTATAGCCTGTTGTGATATGGGTCTCGGTTTCCTTTTTCGTGTTGATGTTCATGATTAGTTGTGCACTCTTGAGACTTAACATTTATTTTCTAGGGCTACTGAAAGATTATGAGTGTTGGAATCTTGAACTTTAGTGCTGTTAATGAATTGATATAAGAACAAAATGTGTTAGAAAGAGTCAGTATAGGAAGTTATGAATTAGAGTTTGGAGATATATTTTTCATTCTTTTGCTAGTAGTTAACCCAGTTTCCTTCTCCTGCTTCTTTCTTGATATAAATTAGAATTTAAAATTTACAGAGTATTATCTTAATCAAATTGTGAAACTAGTTCACGACTTTAATATTTTTTGAGTTCCAATATTCATTTGTCATTGATTGAATTCATGTATGTTATTAGGACTATATTACCAATAAAAATAAATAAATAAATAAAAGAATCTTTCTATTTATGACCATACTAGATTATAGTTTACTCTCTCTTTTACTCCAAGTTGCATTATTTTTTCCTTTTTTGGCAGGTATGTGACAGATTCATTAATCGCAGGCTTGTACAGAAGTTTTATGACAAAGTTCTAACTATTGGCTTAAAAGGTTATGCCCACTTGTATGTTTGATGACTTATCAAGTTTTTCGTCAGTGAAATTTTTATAACAGTGTTAGTGTTAATGTGGTCATTCTATGTGTAAATCCACTTGATCACTTCAATGGTTCTGTTTTTATTTTGCACCATAGAATTTAGTTTTTCATGACCAAATATGAATTTCCTTTGTAGGCACCAGTCCATCTTATCTCGTCTTGCAGACTGGGAAGGCATTATAAAGGTCATCTATGTTCTCCTTTTCTCTTGCAACTGGGTCATTTTTTTTATGAAAGTATAGTACATTAAATCATGATAAAGAAGTTTTGGATTAATAATTTTATCATTGAGTTCCAATTCATGCTAGATTTCATGTAATAAAACACAGTACTTACTGGAAGGATGGTGTTCTCAGCTTGTTTGTATTAATGAATTAATGGTTACCTTTCCAACCGTGGGGGACTTTTCATATTTTTAAGCTTTTATTTTTGTAGAACTTGCTTGCAGTCAATGAAGTGTTTCATTAAGGATATATATCACACATGATATGCGTTTATGCATTTATTATCAAACAATATTCACTTGATGATTTATGTATTGCTATATTGGAGGTCCATTCTTTAAACCCTTATATTCCCACTGATGTGATCTTCTTGTTTGTCTTCCTTGTACTCTAACAGTCACGTTCAGTTCGAGACTTTGACACTTACGCCACTTGCCTTGTTGGAAATTTTGAGGTAGTAATCCTCGACTTATTTTCACTTTTTTGACTGATTTACTGAAGATACTTTCTCTGTTTGCCAGACAGTGGATACATTCTACAGGCATTGTAGCAGTGCTGGTTTTGTGGGAAACGTAATGGTGCCGCTACTCTGCATCAGTGCCTTAGACGATCCAGTCTGTACAATGGAGGCCATTCCTTGGGATGAATGCAGGTATGGAGTCCTCAAATTTCATGTATATTTTGAAATATTCTTTGGTTTTCGAATCATCAAATTACTGAATTGCATTCACTTTTAACCAATAGGGAAAAAAGAGAGAATTGCATTTAGTTGATGAAAGGGCTAAATCATGCTTAGGAAGAAACTCTTGAAATAGCGACCTAATAGCTAGATAAAGTAAACAATTTTGATTTCTGCAGTATTATATGCTCTATAATTTGACAAATATTTTTTGTTTTAACACTCCCTCAGATGGATGAAACTGAAAATCATCTGTTTGCCAATTTGTCATAAATATATATATAATTTTTTATAGGTAAATCATACACACCCATCCATCCATTATTGTCCCATTATGGACTCGAAAACTCAACCTTCCATTTGAAAGGAGGAGATACCACTTGGGCTAAGCCGTTTCCGGTGTCATAATTACATAAATATAATTATGTAGGCGTCAAGTACTTGTGAGGCTGTCAGTTGCCACTTCAAATAAGCTTGTTGAAGAGGGATTCAGAGCCCCAACACTATTGTTCATAGCCACATGCTCTAATCCTCTGACATAGGCCCCACCCTGTTTCCACTTGATCTGTGGTGGTCGATTGTCCACATTAGAGTATATTCTATGATAAAAGAGGCTACACGGATCTAGATGCAATTATGAAAGACATTGCGTGCCTTCACAAAACATTATTTGATGGATATCCAAAAAAAAAAATGATTTTACTCTCATCTCTGTCCACCAATCATCGAACTAACACGCTCCCCCACCTTCCCAAAAAAAAAAAAAGAGGAGATTTTAGAAGTGTCAAATTCTTTTGCTAGATTGCGTAGATATACAAGTATTTAAAAAGTTGGAGTCTGACAAAGTTATTGAATTGGAAGACAATTCTCTGCTTTTGTATTCTGGAGGAAAAACTCGGTGTGACTGGCAATGATTTTCTTACGACACACGTATCTGAAAAAGGTTTTGTCAAAAGCTGCTTCTCTGGAGCTAATAGAAAAAGGCACCAAAAACAGGTTCTGTAAGCATGGGCCTTTGAGATCTTACTATTTTGCAGTGAAATTTTATAACCTTCTTCCTCTTGTATGCTATCGTTGTCGGAGCACTTGTCACTGCAAGGAAGAGAAGACGCAAGGGGAAGGTACTAAGAGACATGATGGACAAAATGTCGAATAGAAAATCTTAGTGATCCTTCTCCTTCTACCTCATTAGTGTTTTGTGTAAATAATCAAAACCTTGTGAAGGAAAAATTGTATGTCCAAATAAACTAGCTGTAACAAATTTAGTTGGACCTTGAGTCCTTGACAGTAGGATCATCACTTTATGCTTTGATATGTTAGAGTACTGTTACGTGAACGTGTCTAAGGCCGCACGTGAGCTTGGAAAGGTCCAAGTCTGTGACAGTACGCTAAAGTTCCAAATGAGTCCTAGAAAAAGGGGAGAGGGGTGAATAGGTCTTGAAAATTCTTCGACCAACAATAGATAATTTTTTACTCTTAACAGTTATATTTGAATGCAGCTAAAAGTAAACTGAAATCCTCACACCCTAGGCCAGACAAATCAATCCACTTTGTAAAGAAAGGGTACACCCCTTGATTATAGATTCTAAACCCTATAGAATCCTCTACCTATCTCAGATTCAGACCTAAGAAATAAAATCCTCTAATTATCTCAGATCCAGACTCACAGTAGGTGTTCTTCCTGAACTCTGTAGTTGTCGATCTACAAATGCTTTCCAATGTTATCTGCTCTTTACTTTGTGATTGATTTCTTCAGCTTGCAATAGATGATGAACATGAAAATATGCTCTCAGTTGTTATTCTTGACATGTTTATATGCTCTTTGTATTACTCTCTTGTGTGAGTGTTCTCTCCCTCTCTCTCTAACATAGAACTTATACAAAAAAGGGACATTACCTTGTGTGGTCCCTGTTAATCAAGGGTGCTGGGAGGGGCAAATTGGAATCCTGGATATAGGTCTAACCTTTTGGCTTTATTTGCACAAAATGACTGGTCTCAGGATTCGTCTCTCGCTTGAGATCCTGAACATTTTACCACTGCACCAGGCAAGGGTAAAGTGAATCCTGCACATATATACATGTATATTCTCTACCTAAAACAAGTAAGGTTGTAGTCTTTTAATCAAAATAGGAAACTGGAGAATGTTTGATCCGTTCCAACTTTGTCCGATTGGACTTAGTCTAGTAGGCTTGCCATGCAACTGTCCTGCAGTTTATATGAACCAGGTTTTGAAGCTTTAAACCTCGTATATAAGTTCTATAATGCATGTTAGTACTAAGCACATTTCACGGAGTGAATATGTGGAAGGAAACGCTAATTGGTGAGCATATGATTCATGAGGCAAAATTACCTTTTTACCTTTCTTTGCTCTACTTGATCTTTATTTCAGAATCTTCAAAGTGCATAAAATAAATGAAACTCGATTACAAAACAACCTTTTGTTATGAAGTCTGCCAACACCAATACCTAGTAGACCCTTGCATATGAAGTACTGTACCTGGCCTTCAAAATATGTAATCTGGAACATGATCACCAATGATTTATGTTTCTTTTATTATCAGCCCATAAAGAAAATTTCCAACCAAAAAGTTAAACAAATCCTTGAGTCACTCCTAATACCCAATCAACGGTTAGCTTTGTGGCAACTGGAATCATTGATGAGAAAGTTACACCACCAAGCAGGTTGCACCCAGATGTTACTCTTAAGGGTTCGTTTGGTTAGCATGAACTGGCCAAAAAGGAAATTTTCAATTTTTTTAGCAGTTTGGTTAGCAGGAAACCGAAAATTTTGAAGAAAATAGAATTCCCACATACAATGAATATTTCCCAAAATAATTCTCACATAAAACACGGGAAAGTTTCGCAACAACTGTCAGTTTCCTATTCTGCCCCAAGTCTGTTTCTCCATTACTCTTCCATCTACATATAAACAATTTAGATATAAATATAAATAATTATGTTATTATTTTTAATAATACTTCCGAACCCAAAAAAAAAAATTAACCTCCATATTTTACTATTTCTTTGCTAATATAAACAATCGAGTATAAAGAGTATTCATCTAAAACTAATTTATTTATTTTTTTAGTATTTGAAAGTACAAGGATGTTTTGGTAAGTAGAATCATTTTATTTTTCTTTTCATACAATCCATACTTTTTTTCTCAAAACTTCCTTCAAAAAAATTCCTCCTAACCAAATGAACGATTGAAGCTTGATTTTCATTTCTTTCACTTTCACTTTCTGTCTAACCAAACGGACCCTAAATGAATCTTATTTTATCTTTTTTCCTAGTTGGTACTTAACCCCCCCCCCCCCCCCCCCCCCCCCCCCAACACCCAATTTTTTATAAATACTAGTTATAGTATATATACATTGAGAAAATTCAAAAATACAACTTAATAATAGACGAAAAAATGATTAGAAAGGAAAATATGGAGAAAAACGATGAATTACAATTTAAAAAAAGAAGATGTACAGAAATAAGTATTGTCAAAGAATCAAATTTTCTTTGTTTCAGTTTTTCAAAATCTAATTTTTCTTAAATTTCGAGTACTTTGATTTCACTGGCGAAAGATATACCTAGATGAAATATTAGAAAAAGAAAAAGAAAAAGAAAAAAAAAATGAATTTTAACTAAATAAAATAATTTTAAATTAAGCAAGATGTCAATAATGATTATTATATAATTCTAGATATTTTTCTTGTAGATATCATTGTACAAAAATGTTTGACAAAAAATGATGATGGAACATTAATGATTTTTATCCCCTTTTTTTTTCTCTCTTGAATTAATATAATAGATATTGTACATGTGTATATGTAAATTAATTAACAATGTGTTACAATAACAACTATAATAATAATGAACTTCTTCACAATATTCGAGCTTTTAAAAGCACAGTCAAAAGGGTTCAAGTAGAACTTTTTTAAAATTTCAAGAAGACACGTACAAAATTTATTTTCGAACTCTCTATTTTGGGTCAATATGTAATTGTTTTGAAAAAAATTGGGGGGGCCAATTGAATTTTTTAATGATTTTTAGGGGTTATATTTATAAATTAATTAATATTTAGAAGATAGTAATAAAAATTTTCAAAAAGTTTGATGGGCCATGGCCCTTGCGCCCCCCCCCCAAAAACCACCTCCGCGTCTAATCCTGAGACCTGATGTTTCATAAGGCACCAGGGCAGATGTAAGAGTAAGAAATAAAAGCAGCACATTAACACACTCGGGTATCACAATAACCACCCAGGTAATGAAGCAGTACCTGGGGACTTTTACCAAAGCTCGGTGGGCTGTTACAATATGGGCCAAAGAACCAGTAGACCCTTGGCCCATGCCATAACCCAGGAGCATGGCACGGGCCTTTGAGAACCGGGCAATGGAAGCCTAGCCTATGATTCCGACACATGGCAGGGCCCATCTATGCATGAAGGTCTCAATGTGTGCTAGGACTTTTTGCAGGCCCATGACAGTATCCCAGACGTGACCTCTCCTCATAATTAAGTCACTGTGGAACATAGTGACTCAACCATGAAATTCATAACAGGCATGTGAACCGCACTACATCCTGGTCTTGAACCATGGAATGGCTAGTGATGGTCCACCCTTGCTCACACCAAGTTAAATGAGGCGCCCAGGATCACTTGCGTAGCTCACCTTGTACGGTCATGAGAGCTGGCATTGCATTTTGGGGGTTAATCTAGAGGAAGCTAGTGGATTGGAGGATACGCTGCAAGATGCAACTTGAGACCCAAGAAACCCAAGAGGAATCTGGGAATATCTTGTTTGTCATCAAGTGGCCAGATGCTTAGGGGATGGACACGTGGAGGTCATACCTGGATTTCAGGGATGTGTAACTGACCCCCAAAAGGTGTAAAAGGAAGGTATAAAAAGGGGTAGAGTAAAAATGGAAAGACAGATTTGAAGAGGAGAAGGATTCCAGGTAAAGACTTCATTGCCATATCTCTTTCTCTAAGTATTTGCCCTAATCCTCTCTTCTATACCACTCTTCTCTGGTTTGTTTGTTGTGATATAGCTACTGCAGTCCATAGGCAACCTTGCTAACCCCACAGAAGAAAACCTGAAAGTCTAATTCAAGTTTTGCATTAGTTTTTAAAGCATTGTTAGAAAAAAGACTTGTTGGGCAATTGACTACAAGCATTGTTGCATATTGGTAGAGTGCTATCAGTAAAAGATGATGAAAAGAAAAATGGGCTACCCTCTGGTACAATGTGGAATATTGACATGGTATGAATATATCTATCCCAAAAATGGGCCTGAATCTATGGGTAGATTCATAGGTAAAGAGTATTTAGTGATATTTGAAAATATTTATGTTAAATTCATTTTTAATTTATTATAGTTTTATTTCTTATGAATGTTACACAGTACATACAAAATATCATAACACCTTACAACATTAAATTACTATATTCTCAAGAACGCTTATGTTGTATGAACCCCAAGGGGTTGGCCCAAGTGGTTAAGTCACTGGTGCCTCACTAAGCATCAGGTCTAAGGTTTGACTCCTCTTGGGTGCAAACAATTCCTTGGAGGGGGTGTGTTTTAGTACCAACTAGGAAAAAAAACTAACATGTTATATGATTTTTATAGGTTGAACAAGAATATCATCCTAGCTACCACATCTCATGGAGGACACCTAGCATATTTCGAGGGGACAACTGCCAAGAGCCTGTGGTAATTTATTTATTTTCAGATTGTGTGGAACTTCTACCGAATCCATTTTACGCCTTTACGGTAACTGTGAGTGTACTTCTATGTCCACTTTGGAGCCCCCATCTACTAATTGTGAAGTAACATTCCAAGGCTCATTGTTGTTATGCTGCATCTTCAGTTATAAAATTAGGGGCATACATTCAAGCGGTGAGATGTTGCTTTATGAACATTCAATGGAAATAATAGGGAGATAGAATGTTGGAGATGGAGAAGTAGACCTAACTTGGGAATCCAGAAGTGGCCGTTTCTTTCTTCTTCCTAATTTCCCCCATGGTCTTTTTTTTTCATTTTTGTTTTTTGGTTTGTTTTGTTGGCGTGTGGGGTGTGTGCGTGTGGGGTGTGGGGGGGGAGGGGGGTGGTTGTTCTACTTCCATTTGGTCATTTACACCTATTTCCAGATGGCATAAGAAGAGTTGTGAAGCATGTACGGTATAGCACCTACATGCATAGACATGCATGCATATTTTGAGTTTCACGTCAGAATTTTGGTTGAGCATCCATTAAAGACCATCACCTGTGGCCTCCTTGCGCTTGTCAGCTAGATCTTTTTCCATTGTAACTAACAACGGGCCCTTTCTAGTTGGAAAATCCATTTGTGACATTGTTTTTCAGGCACTAATATATGTTTTTGTTGAAGTTGTGTGCCCTGCCTTCTTCTGATATCTAATTGTCCATATCAATAAACATGGTTTATTTTCTCTACCTTTGCAGGTGGGTTAGGGCTGTTGATGAATTCCTGAGTGTTGTACATTCTAGTTCGTTAATCCACCCAAAAAAGGAGGTGCAAAAACATTCACTATCCTCTTGTAACTCTTGTTCTCTTCTGAAATGTAGCAAAAAATATATGGAATTTACACATAAATTATGTCCATGTGATAAAGAAAGCAGGGAGCATTTGACGCATGTGCCTCATTATGAGTTTCTCAAGCTTCATAATTTACCAAAGACTTGTATGCTTCTTGATGAACCAAAGCATAGAATTGTGTGTGCGCTATGTAGAAGCATTTTATTGAAAGTATAAAATTGAGCCCCAGATATTGAAAGTGTATTATGATGATAATATGGTTTTGAATCAGCTGACTTGAAACTTTCTCTTGGATTTTAATAAAAATTCATCTACAATAATTAAGTTTGTGCTGCATAGTTATCCGATCAATCTGCTATCGTTGATATCTCACAGTGGGACCAATTTATTACCAAGTACCATACTCTACTTGCAAGTTATTAGCGCAATAAGTGATAGGTGCTTGCTGAGGTCTGCATACTCATTCAAGATTTTCCTTTATAGTTTAGTGAAATCATTATGTGTGATTTTATTCTTTCATATGGTTGAAGCATAAGACATCTAAGAAAAATTCTATGAAAAGGATTTCATGTCCACATTTTGCTAATCTCTAAAAGTTACATGGTTTGATATTATGTATTGCAGATGCAAATTCCCTCCTCTGTGGGTCCTCTAGAATCTTCAATTGATCAAGTTCCGTATGTAAATGTCATGAATGATGGGATGGTGACAGCACTGGGTAATGGGCAAACAATGAGTTTAGAAGACATACCCAATGAGCATATGGTTCAGCGGGAACAGGACGATATGTTTTTAGCTACACGAACGAACAATCATACGACAGGAGAAGAAAAGCATTCGAGGGGTGACACTGCTCAGCCCCCCAAACAAGATATTGACAGTGCAGTTGCTCCTATTAGAAGATGCGTGGACCTTCTTTCACAACAGAGTAGCAAATCGATATGGCTGCTTGTGTACATTGCCATCATAACGACTTGGCCGCTTGTTGGTTCAGCTCTTCTGATGTTCTTAAAGAAGAAGTTCAGAAATGGGTTCCCAACAATGATGCAGACAAGGTAGTATTCATTGCTGTATAGCTTTAAATGCAAAGCAAATACAGACGATGAGTCCACTGTTTCTTGCTGATGGAAAAAAGGAGATCATTCGTCGAAGGGCCTCAGGGACCACTAAAATCTATATAATTGGATGTGCATCAAATTATTGGAATAAAATGAATTCGGAACCTCTTGTTATACCGTTGGATATTAATCGTGATTAATTAATACAGAACAGTGTTATCAAATAATTAATACCATATAGTTTTGCTAAACCAATTATCAGTTTGTGTGAACATTTTGTTTGTAATTTGTAAACGCACGTGTTGTGCATCTGCATATGAACAAATACCATACAGTTTTAGACAAACATTTTTAGACAAAAGGATGGATTGCGTAGTACTAATTCTAATTTGTTGTTTAATTGTTTAGCGACTCCTCCGGAATTGGGCGTCTCTTAATTTGGGACTTCTTCGGAATTGGGCGTCTCTTAATTTGGGACTTCTTCGGAATTGGGCGTCTCTTAATTTACTCCAACCTCTCAAAAGTTTTAACCAACATTATTTTTTTTCCTTAAAATAATGAGAATATAATCAATATTTAATAAAAAAAAATACTGAAAAAATAAAATAAAAAATAAATACAATATACATAACCAACATTATTTTTTTTCCTTAAAATAATGAGAATATAATCAATATTTAATAAAAAAAAATACTGAAAAAATAAAATAAAAAATAAATACAATATACACCATATGGTTTTTATAATCAAGAGACACAATACAACCTCTCACACCTATAATAATAATAATAATAATTTAAACATAAATTCTAAACCCCCTTTCATAAATAATTCATTTTCATAATTCATTCTTATCATATGATTGTAAAGCCAGGTTAATGGTTATGTATAAGCTTTCATGCCATTTTGATGTGTGAACTGTGTGTGGATTATGAAGTAGGCCCAAGGATCACATGATCGGTTGGCCCAATGCATGTAGACCCATGATCAGCTAATCGAATGGTTTTACAACACATATTCTAGATTAGGCGAAGGTTTAGAAAATAAGATTTTTATTTAGATATCATGTAGTAATTGAAAATTTTAAATCTGATAATTGAACACCGCTATAAGTACATGAGATTATGTAGAAAAAAAATGCAAAAAATAAAATAAATAAATACAACACATCCACCTTTGGGTATATCAAATAAACTAAGAATAGAAGGACAAGGAGAGTAGGAAGGCAAAGAGTTTAATTAATTAATTAATTAATTTTGTTGGAGGAAAATTGGATTCATTTTAAGAGTTTAATTAATTAATTCTTTATAAGAGAAACTATCTGATTCATTCCAACACCCACAAAACAGATGTACGGACCAGAAAGAAACTGTTTGAGGGACTCCGGTTTTGAATCCAAATATCTCATTTGAATGATCAGACAGTAGCAATACATCTGGCCAAGGGTTCCATTTTTTGAACTTCATGTCAATTCCTACGAGTGGCCTCATAAGCTGAGACTTAAATGCACGATCCATAACTCTTGTATAAAAAGTGACACCATTCATTTCAATCCTATACACACCCATTCTTGATGAAAGCCAAGTGAGAACAACCATCCTTAGTTTCTGATTTTAATCTCACTTTAACATAGAAACCTTTTACCACACGGATGATATATTTACATATATATATATATATATATATATATATATACACACAGCCTTATACATTAATAAACAATAACACATCTTTAGATCGAGAAATCTGAAAAGCCAAGTTTAGTCTAGACATTACTAGGAAGTTGGAATAGCTTGGAATAGATTTTTGTGTTGGCCCATCTTCCATAAATTCAAATATTTAAAATGTTCCTATATTTTCAATCTCAAACATATATTACCAATGAACGGATGGTATAAGCTCTCCTTCCCAATTTGGAGAGGTTGGGTGTTCAAGTTTCAAAAAAAATTGACTATGCATAAATTTACACAATACTACTGAAGCTTTTGGAGTGGTAGATAGTTCATATGGTATCAGACCTGAGACATAAAGAGTAAAAGGTAGTTAACAATTAAAATCCACCAAATTGAGAATTAGCGAAGTCACGAACTTCAGACCTAAGTATTAAGCAAGATGCTACGAGAACCATGGAACCTATGAATGCAAAAGATTCTATCGAAACTGAACAAAGAAAGAAAGGGTAATATCCCCAGTATATTCATCTGATAAAAGATTATATCCTAACTAAATAATTCTTGCAAATATTCACACATAAACTGGAAGTACCTGAAATGTGGATATTTGGCGTAAAAATGATTATAAGAGTGTTGGATTATTTGAGAACTTCACCATAGCTATGACAGACAAAAGGAGGAACTGACTACAACTTGCCAAGTGGTTAAACAACCCCCAACCCACCAAGTCCACTTTTGCCCGAATAAATTATAAATGATACACTGGAAAAACAACAGCGAGGACACCTGATCTGAAATAAAGAAAAAGTCCGCATAACTAAATCTAGGGGATCATGCATCAGTATTTCAACATAATTCACCAAACCATCCAAATGGGACTGATGTTCACAAGTCACATTTTGCAGAAGTCAATCTCATAACATCTCGGTGTTCTAAGAGAAGAGGACTAGCCATTTGAAGAGATTCTAAGATTTCACAGGCTCAGCTCGAGGCCTCCAAAGTCCCAGCCTATATTTGTGAGTGAATTTCAGTATCAGCTTCCTCTGTAGCAGCAAAATTAGATGTTATAATGCATTCTTAAGAATGAAAATGTCTGCATTGTGTAATAATGCCAACATTCAACCAAAAAGACTTTAATAGTTTAATCTATCCAAAAATAGGATTCTAACGAAAGTAGCCATAAATATGTCCCCAAACACATCTTCTAATTCTAATGAAATTTTCAAATATTTGAATAGTAAGTTCCAAAGTTTTATACAGCATATGTGCATGATAATGAGTAAAGTGAGAGATATCAACAGTTTCTATAAAGCAGGCACAACAAAAAACGAGAACAAAAATTAAAAATTAAAAGATAGATATAAAAAAAATAAAAAGGAATTAAAGGAATCTTGTTCAGAAACACACATGCTAAGGTCTTTGAGTAACAAGGACATTGATATGGATGTTTCCAAAAATTAGTTTAAAAGGCAGAGTTCCAGAAATGCAAGTATTGCACAAGATCCCTCAGGAAAAATCGTAAGACAAAGGCCACTATGAACTGTGATTGCCCTTTCATCAGTTTAGAAGCAAGGTCAACTTCCATTTTTGCCTCTCATACAATGGAATAATGAGGGAAAAAATGGCCATAGGTTTATTACACAATGTCATCACATTAATTGAGAGTGTTGGAAAGGGTAGACTAGACAAAGACCTAACATTTATTCTACAAAAATGGTTGCAAATACTTTGTACGCCTTGAACTGACCTCCAAGAAAATGATGTAGTCTAAGACTTAGATGGGCAAGATAAACAAAACATATTTGAGGTTCTCCTGCCCAACTGTTTTAATCTTCAAAATAACAGGTCCCAAAATCACCCATTAAAGCAGTTGATCATAATTCTTAAGTCAATTAGTAGCTTGGTAGTTTTTGGATTCGAGGGATCACAGTGAGCTACTTGCTTATATGACAATAGCTAAACCCTTCTCATTCTTTCAATGTTCCAGTGTCATTTTCACAATAGTGAAGTACCCGCGCGCCCGCCTCCGGGGGTGGGGGGGGTGGTGGTGAAGGGGGACTCTTATTATTTTGCTAAAGCCAAACTACGACTATGAGCTTCTTCAGGACGGTCTTTAACCCCTTAAGACTACCAGATTCTTCGGGACGGTGTTTAAGCCCTTAACCAAGAAATGACATTTTCTTAAAAAAATCTTTTTGGTGTCCCCAAATGATTCTTGAGTCGAGACTAATCCTACAGATGCATCATCCACAAACCACATGCATTGGCTAGGTCTAAGAATACTCAAAATTGAGACAACTGGCTCTTAAGACACCACCTAGGCCAACTCACCTATGGCCAGGTAGCACATTTCTGATCTAGTTTACAGCTGGGTAGATGGACTAAACAAATAACAGAGTAATTGATCTCTAGAATAAAAACACCAACAACTCCTGAGACATATATTAGGATTTTTCTCTTTGATTATAACCTATATTCAAGAGGCAATAAAATTACTATACCCACACCATGGTCCTCAAGAATCGGACAACCGAAATAGAACGAAGCAGAAATGGATTGGAAACAGAACAATTCAAACCCAATGAAAGTCTTGAATGCCTAATTGCACACATAATAAAATGATATAATACAAACAAAATGATCACATCTACAATGATTTGCAATGGCATCTTTGAAACTATAATTGACACAGATGGTCCTCTGTTTAAAAATGATAAGCAACAAATTTTCCATGTCATCCTGCATATAATTTTCTGGTTATAGAATTTGTTTTTAGAGAGCTACAAAAGAACCATCAGCATAAAGATTTCGGTAGACATGAAGCAGCAAGAAGATCTATACTGGGCCTTGGGCAATTAAGATCCATCTTTACCATAACTATAAAGCTGTCCAGCAATGTTTGACTAGTGAGACAATTTCTCCAACAACCAAAAGCTCATACCTACTGGCACCTTGATTGGGTTGGTGTGCAAGCCTCAAAGAAGGATAACATGATCGCAATATAACAAAGTAAATTTGAGAGTTTTACCATCAGCCCAGGATAACGCATATGCAACTATACAGATCTTTAGCATAAGCATACTCTGAAGCCATATGCTGAATGTAAATAATGGCTTCCTTAAGAAAAATGAAAGCACCCAAAAAAAAAAACCTAGCAGGGATGATCTATAAGTTAGACTGCAAGAATGGAACTGCAATACCAGTAGAAAAACTACATGTTATCGGGCCATTGTAGCCTGAACAAATGCAGGCTATCCATGGAAGGATCCCATAACCAACAGAAATTTTGATGCTGAAGTTGCAAGATCCAGATCATGGAGGAAATGAGATTATTTTGCACATTAATCATCTTTCATGCCATCTTGCATTTTGCGTATATTGCGAGAATCTAACATACTGTCAGATTTTGCTCTATAGTGTGAGCATCTTGCATCTTGCATCTTTGAGTTATCTAAAATAAAGTCACCCAAATGATAAAAGCAATCAACTATTTCACAAATAACAGGAAAAAAACGACCAAAACTCGCATGCTGATAATTTGACGATGATTCAGCATGGATCAAAACAAATTCTACTCCACAAATTCACATTTTTCTCCTAGAAAATAAGAATATTCTTGCCAGAAGTCACTTTAATTATTGAATTATTCTAGATTTCTAGAAAATAAGTTGATTATAGATTTAAACCCAACAAACAAATGTAGTAACAAATTAGTCGTAATACACACACATTTTTAAATGTGCACACAGCTCCATATAGCAAGCACGATAACATTTAACAGAAACCAGAATTTCACGAAACTATAACTCGCACATAATTGCTAAAATATAATCAAAACCCATTAAAAGATATATTGAAAATTTGAAAAATCATTGATGAATCAGAAGATAGGAAAATGATTGTTACATGTTTGCAGGGAATGCCAAGTTTCTTGAGCTTGAGAGTTCGTGTGACGAGCAGCTTCTGGAAGTCACCAATCTCATTTTCAAGCTTTTCCACATGGGTCTCAACGCCTTTGCCCACTCCATTCAGAAACTCTGGTATTCCAACCTTCACTGCAACAATACAAAACAGACCCACATTCAAGTTATTTATCAAAGCCACGAAAATCGAACCAACATATTCAAATGTATATATACATAAACCCTAAAATAAATTTTACCCAAGTATGGGGTGGATTTCGATGAATAATTTGCGAACCCAGTAACCGAATTCAAAGGTGAAGAGAGTGCTCTTCCATGGAAGAACATCATTTGCCTCCAAGCCATCGTCGATCTGTATCGAATTGAACAATTGGGCTTCTTTTGATACAGGTAGAGAAAGGAAAGCAAAGGAAATGATTGAGTAGATGGGAGACAAAAGGATAATTTTACGCACACTCCCTTTAATTTTGGCCAAATATTAGACTTTAACATGTTTCGAAAATTATTATTACTTACGCTATAAACTTTGGTTCTGTTCTTTACTCACACCCTAACTGTTGTGTTCGGAGCTCTAATACAACGTAATATGACTTAAATATCCTTTAATTTGGTCAAAAGTACTATCTAACCAAAAGAATTAAATAAAAAGACTACAATACCCATAAATACACTACAAATTTACAATTTTATATATATGTAAGTTTCCAAAACCCAACATCGCAGGATGTGGAGGAATGGATCGGCGACTAGGGGCTCCATCGCGATTTGCCGTGTGATTGATGGGTTTGCCGTGAATTTGGTAATCAACACAAATTCTATCATTTTGGAAACATTGAATTTGACTCTATTTTTTGGAAACATTGAACCTAACAGTTCAGGCACGATTGCAGCAAATTCCGACGATGTTGGGTTATTGTACTGTGTAACAGGGCTATTTCTTTTTTTCTTTTCTTTTTTCACAATTGGGGTTTTTTTATTTTCAGTTGGGTCTGGTGGTGGTAGTTGTGGATAGTGGTAATTGAGGTTTTGGCTAGTTATGGTGGTTTTGGGTGGTGGTGAAGGACCTGAAGGTTGTGGGCGGTGATGATAAGGGAGTTTTAGATGGAGTTGTTTTGTCGATTTGGGGCGGTGTTTCAAGGCGGAGGTAGTTGAATCGGCCGTGAGCAAAAGACGAACCCACGACGACGATGGAGGAATGGCACAGCAACGGCGAGCAAGGATCCCGGAAGCGATCCAACAACTCCGGCGATCAAATTGGGCTGAACGGTGGTGACGGAATTGGATCCCTTTTTTTTCCAGCAAAAATTGTTAAGAGTGAGAAAGATGTGGGTGTATTAATAAGGGTATAATGGTAATTTAAGAATATGATATTTTAGAAAAAATAGAATTAAAAAATTAGGGACAAAGTTGTCTTTTTATACTTTTTAACGGATTCTGTAATGAAAAAATAAATTAAGTGTGATATTTGGTGAAACCTCAACGAGTGTAAGTGAAAGTGAAATTAATAATGGATAATATTTTTATTTGGATAAATAAAAAGAAATAGAAAAAAGAAAAATAATCAAATTAATATTTTACTCTTTTGTATCTAATCTAAATCAAATGGTCCTTATTCCATTTAAGTCCTAATACCCTTATCCATGTATTCGGTAACCCGTTTTGATGAGAAAATTATCGGAACAAACCCTAGAATCTGATTTGACAAAGCAGCTAAGTGTAAGTAGGGCTGCAAATGAACCGAGCCGAGCTTTGGGTTGCTAGGGCTCGGCTCGTCACTCCCAGAGAGGTGTTCGGACTCGGCTCGGGATCGGGCGAGCTTGGTTAAGCAAAGCTCGAGATCAGCTCAATAGATTTTCCAGAAGCTCGGGCTCGGCTCAGGCTCGATTACATGCACCTCCAATTATTGTTTCCTAACTCTGCATAACAGGAACTAAACAAACAAATAAAGAAGTTAAAATTCCAGAGTTGTAGAATTAATTCCCGATTTAACAAAAGAACTAAACAAGCTCTCTTTCACGAGATCAAATCTCAATCTCCAAGAAGAAGAAAAAAGAAAAATTATAGTAGAAAAAAAACAAATAAAGAAGTTAAAATTTCAAAGTTGTAAAATTAATTCCCGATTCAAGAAAAGAACTAAACAAGCTCTCTTTCATGAGATCAGATCTTAATCTCCAAGAAGAAGAAAAAAGAAAAAATACAGAAGAAAAAAAAAAAACAAATAAAGAAGTTAAAATTAGATCTTATATGGTTTTTGCCTTCCTCTGATGATAGCAGTGAGTGGAGTAATGAGTGACTTAGGGAGGGATGCTAGTGTTGGAGTTTATCGGAGCTCTGTTGCTTGTGAGGGCTTCCAGCGCGTTTATGTGGTGAAGCTATGAAGATGGATACGTGGTGAAACTGCCTTCTTTAGGGTTTATTCTATCACTTAAAAAGTACCAAAATCAACTGCTAACATGCAACCTTAATTGATGATGGGCCAATGGTCCTTGGGCCTTATTAATGAAAGGATGTAAATTGGGCCAAATTAATGTATTATATGGGCTAACACTTTGAATATAGAATAGGGTTTGTTTGTTAACATAAATGGGTTGGGTCTTTAAAATGAATATGGGCCATTTTTTTTAGGCTTTGTTATTTAGATTATAGTAATGGTTTTCAAATGGACTTATCATGTATAATTGTAATGGTCTCATATATATGGGCTGGATCAAGAACTTATAATTGGTTAATAAATGAGTCTTATACGAACTTTGTTCACAAGTCTAAACGAGCCTTATACGAGCCTTGTTCACGAGCCCATACGAGCCGAGCCTAATGTTGTTCAGGCTCGGCTCGTTTACTAAACGAGCCTAGAAATTGGGCTCGGACTCGAGCTCGGCTCGTTTACTTAACGAACGAGCCCAAACCGAGCCCGAACTATTCATGAACAGCTCGGTTCATTTGCAGCCCTAAGTGTAAGCTATTGGTGTAAGCTATTGTACTCCTGAGCATTATTGCTGCTCATGTGAATTTTAAAGTTGGAGAAAGTTGGAGAGGAGTCTTATCTGAAGCTGCTTATTGATCCATGGTGGCAAGGAAAATTTTAATTCAGACTGTAGCTATGGTTATCGTATACTTATTGATCCATGGTGTCCACTTAAACATATTATTCACAATGGAATAGCTCAGACCTCAATTCAAAAAGGACATATATGTAGCAGAATTTCTTCTATAGCTCAAAATTAAAATTAGTTATTAAGATTTAAATGGAATAAAAATTTTGCGTATTTAATATTGAAGACTACTTTTCTCATAATAAAAATGTCACTTAGGTTTACTTTTTCTTTCAATCTTGTCAATTATGGAGGTTTTCTTTTCTACCAAATTCCTCTCATCCAATCACAATACACACTATTCTTTTCTTTCTTTTAAATCCAAATCACTCAATGAAATTCTCAAGATATCATTTGTTTTGAGCTCGAGTACATAAAAACATTAGAATGTAAAACCAACTCTAAATAACAGCGTTGATAAGCACCCTTCTTTGAATTGGGCGTCTCTGCAAAGAATTTTTTGTTTTAATTTACTTCAATCTCTCAAAAGTTTCAATTAATATTATTTTTTCTCTTAAATAATGAGAATACAATCAATATTTAATTAAAAAAATTACTGAAAAAGTAAAAATAAAAAATAAATACAATGTACACTATATAGTTTTATGATTTTTATAATCAAGAGTCACAGAATGCAACCTCTCACACCTATTATAATAATAATAATACTAATAATAATTTAAACATAAATTCTAAACTCCCTTTCATAAATATTCCATTTTCATAATTCATTATTCTCCTATGATTTCAAAGCCATCCCGTAAGTGGTGGTTATGCAATATACACTATATGGTTTTATGGTTTTTATAATCAAGAGTCACACAATGCAACCTCTCACACCTATTATAATAATAATAATACTAATAATAATTTAAACATAAATTCTAAACTCCCTTTCATAAATATTCCATTTTCATAATTCATTATTCTCCTATGATTTCAAAGCCATCCCGTAAGTGGTGGTTCTGCATGCTTTCATGCCATTTTGATGTGTGAACTGTGTGTGGATTATGAAGTAGGCCCAAGGATCACATGATCAGCTGGCCCACTGTGTGTAGACACAATGATCAGGTAATCGAATGGATTTACAAAACATATTTTAGATTTGGGTGAAGGTTTAAGAAATAAGATTTTTATTAAAATATCATTTAGTAACCAATTTTTTTGAAAATTTTATTTATGATAATTGAAGGCCGTTATAAATACATTTACATGTATTTCTCTACGTTGTTCTTAAATCTTCACACCACTACGAGGGTTGGTATTGATTGAAGGAGGAGATTAGGTAGGGAAAAAAATGCAAAAAAATAAAATAAATAAATACAACACATCCAACTTTGGGTATATCAAATAAAGAACGAAAAATAAACAAGAATATAAGGACAAGGAGAGTAGGAAGGCAAAGAGTTTAATTAATTAATTTTGTTGGAGAAAAATAGGATTCATTTTAAGAGTTTAATTATTATCAGATTTATTTGCTTCAGCTTATTATGGATAGAGATGAAAAATTAAAGAGGAATATCAGATATTACTAATATGTTTAAGAAAAATATATCAAGGTTCTTTGTCATTTCATATGGACCGTTTGACATGCGATGTGTTTTAAGCGTTATGTTTTTGGTTAATACCAAATCATCTGGTTTGTTGTAGAGTGTTTTGGGTAAAGATAGAAACCATGTTTGGTAAAAAAAAATTGTTTTAATTCTTCCGCTATAATTTTAAAATACACAATATCACTAATTTAGTGATATGAATTTTGACCAAAAAATCTAATATGTTAATATGTTATGAATTATTTTAAACTAATATCAATTATCTTAAACATAATATGAGTCCGAATTTAAATAAAAATATCAAAAAAATAATATCATAATGCATGTGGAACGATCATACATTTTTAAGTGGAATGCAATACCACTTCGTATAAATAAAACATGATATATGCCTTTTGTGCTAGCCTAATGTGAAGTTCCTCCACAATCCACCCACTTATTAGTGACACATTAATTAGTTTGCATCCATCTTTCACCTTTTTTCTTTTTTAATTATAAGCTGATGATGCACATGTATTTGTTCTTTTCTTTACTTTTTTTTTGTATTTTTTTATATTTATATTTTCTACTACCATTAAGTACTTTTCTTTATTTATTTTAACTTCTTATTCTTTTATATTTTAAGCTTCTTACTTACTAATCACATAGGCTCCATTCACTCTCTCTCTCTCTCTCTAAAGTTCTAGTTGAATTTCTTGATGAACGACGTAGCTATGACCAATTATAAATTAAAATACAATTAAATTTATGAACTTTATTTAATCTATAAATCGCATGTCAACTTGTGAATAGCGAAACGTTTTCATGCCAATTCAAACGGTAGATTAACTCTC